GCCAGGGTATAGTTTGTAAGGTGAGAGTGTCCATGGCATGTATGAGAAACAGAAGACTATAGTAGTTAAAACATAGTGAGCAAGATGGGAGTGATTGGAATAGAGGTCAGAAAGGTAGGGATTTGGTAGCAAAAAGGTAGAGCCTTGTAGGCATTTGTATGTACTTTGACATTTACTCTCATTCAAGTGGAATCACTTGGAAGGGTTTGAGTCAGGTCATTCAGAGAATGATCTGACTTGCATTTTATTTTTATTTTTTACATCTAAAAAAATTTATTTAATTGGAGGCTAATTACTTTATACTATTATAGTAGTTTTTGCCATATATTGACATGAATCAGCCATGGGTGTACATGTGTTCCCCATCGTGAACCCCCCTCCCACCTCCCTCCCTGTCCCATCCTTCTGGGTCATCCCAGTGCACCAGCCCTGAGCACCCTGTCTCATGCATCCAACCTGGACTGGTGATCTGTTTCACATATGATAATATATATGTTTCAATGCTATTCTCTCAGATCATCCCACCCTCACCTTCTCCCACACAGTCCAAAAGACTGTTCTGTACATCTGTGTCTCTTTTGCTGTCTCATGTATAGAGTTATCGTTACCATCTTTCTAAATTCCACATATATGCATTAGTATACTATATTGGTGTTTTTCTTTCTGACTTACTTCACTCTGTATAATAGGCTCCAGTTTCATCCACCTCATTAGAACTGGTTCAAATGCATTCTTTTTAATGGCTGAGTAATATTCCACTGTGTATATGTACCACAGCTTTCTTATCCATTCATCTGGTTGGATGGACATCTAGGTTGCTTCCATGTCCTGGCTATTGTAAACAGTGCTGTGATGAACATTGGGGTACACGTGTCTTTTTCAATTCTGGTTTCCTCAGTGTGTATGCCCAGCAGTGGGATTGCTGGGTCATATGGCAGTTCTATTTCCAGTTTTTTAAGGAATCTCTGCACTGTTCTCCATAGTGGCTGTACTAGTTTGCATTCCCACCAACAGTGTAAGAGGATTCCCTTTTCTCCACACCCTCTCCAGCATTTATTGTTTGTAGATTTTTGGATGGCAGCCATTCAAACTGGTGCGAGATGGTACCTCATTGAGGTTTTGATTTGCATTTCTCTGATAATGAGTGATGTTGAGCATCTTTTCATGTGTTTGTTAGCCATCTGTATGTCTTCTTTGAAGAAATGTCTGTTTAGTTCTTTGGCCCATTTTTTGATTGGGTCATTTATTTTTCTGGAATTGAGCTGCAGGAGTTGCTTGTATATTTTTCAGATTAATTCTTTTGTTGTAGATTAATTGATCATAGGTATGTGGGTTTATTTCTGGACTTTCTATACTGTTCCATTGATCTCTATTTCTGTTTTTGTGCCAATACCATACTGTTTTTATTAGTGTAGCTTTGTAGTATAGTCTGAAGTCAGGGAGATTGATTCCTCCATGGAGGGGAGAGGGACCAGTTAGGGGCATGAGATTAAGAAATATAATCTACTATGTGGTGATGCTAGTGGTAAAGAACCTGCCTGCCATTTCAGGAGACATAGGAGATGTAGGTTCAATCCCTGGGTTAGTAAGATCCCCTGGAGGAAGGCATGGCAATATACTCCTGTATTCTTGCCTGTAGAATCCCATGGACAGAGGAGCCTGGCAGGTTGTAGTGCCTAGGGTTGCAGAGAGTCAGACATGACTGAAATGACTTAACATAGTACAAACATGTATAAAACAGATAAGCATCAAGGATATATTTTATATTACAGGGAATTATAGCCTTTATCTTGTAATAACTTTTAATAGAGTATAATCTGTAAAAAGTACTGAATCACTATTCTGTACACCTGAGATGTAATATAGTTTATCAGCTATACTTAAGTTTAAATAGATCAGTAAATGTGAAAATGTGTTCAACTCTAGGAAATAGCTCTCAGTTGGCAAAGAATCTGCCTGCAATGCAGGAGACCCTGATTCGATTCCTGTGTCAGGCAGATCCAATGGAGAAGAGATAGACTACCCACTCAAGTATTCTTGGGTCTCCCTTGTGGCTCAGCTGGTAAAAAATCCACCTGTAATGCAGGAGACCTGGGTTCGATCCCTGGGTTGGGAAGATCCCTTGGAGAAGGAAAAGGCTACCAACTCCAGTATTCTGTCCTGGAGACTTCCGTAGACTGCATAGTCCATGGGGTTGCCAAGAGTCGAACATGACCGAGCGACTTTCACTTTCACTTTCTAGGAAATATCAGGAAAATATCTAGTTTTAGTTCATATCTCGTTTATGTCTGTGAGGTTCAACCCTCTCAGAAAGTGTTTATTGGCAAAAAGTAAAGATATCATCAAATGTCGGCGAGATATAAATAGGTATTGTAGTATGAAAATTGATATTGCCCCCCTGGTAAAGAATTTGGAAGCTATTGAGTGACACTGGTAACTATGTACCATGTCCTATTCCAGTAATGCACAAAGAGAGGCAAAGATTCTCCCCTCATAGAACAAGTACTCTTTGTGGTGCCTAGAAAGAGACTTCTAAAGATAGATAAATACATTAATCTGTTTGACATTGCCCCAGGTATCACTGGGTTTCTTTACTTTTTGCCCTTTGTGTTTCAGAATGGCTAGTTTTTGTTGCGGTGTCTTCTGTCTCATTGACATTTTCTGCTGCAGTGACTAACCTTCTTTAAATCCTATCCTGTGGTTTTTTCATTTAGATGTATTGTTTTTATCGTTTGTAAAGTTTCCATTTCTTACGTTCAATCTTTTCCTCCCCATCATTTAGTTAATTTTTTCCCTTTAAGTACCATAGCTGTTTTAAAGTCCTTTTTTAAAAATCTTGTTATCTAAGTAGAGAATAATACAGTAAATCTGATGTGCCTGTCAACCAGAAGTGTAACATACTGGTATGTTACATGTATACCTTATACTTTGCCAAACAATCTATCTCATACATAAATATTTGAAGATGAAGCCACTCTACTATTACCACAATTTATAAAAAACAGCTAACAGTAATTCCTTAATATCATTAGATGCTCATCAGTGTTAACATTTTATGATTTGAAGCTTTACATGAACTCTGTAAGTTCTAGCAAAAGTCCTTTAAAATAAATCATCTTGAAACCTTTAGGGAAATTGACTTTTAATAACAACAACAATGATAAAAACCTTTCCTTAAGGAACCATTGAGCCCAGATTTTTGAAGTTGTTATTGAGATGATTGTCGAGTTACATGCATTTTTAAGAAACAGTACAAATTGGTACTCTTGTACTTACCACCTGGTTTCCGTCATTGGTAATAATTGCAGTTATTATAGAACAGTAATGATACTGACATTGATACGGTCTCCCAGTCTTACTCAGATTTTTTCAGTTTCTGTGCATGCATGTGTGTTGTAGTATTAATAGCAGTAGTAGGTTTAGATATTTACCATAGCTAGTTCTCTTTCATCTTCTCTTATCTGGGTAGTTATTCAGTTTTTCTTTATCTTCAACTTTTTAAAACTGGATAGTTTTGATGATTACTGGCCAGTTTTGTAGGATTTCTCTTCATTTGGATTTGTTTGATATTTGCTTATGATTAAATTCTGGTTGGTGTTTGGGGAAGGAATATGACAGTAGGTGTTGCACCCCTTCCCAGTGTATCTTAAGATGAATTGCACTATGATGATACTGGTAACTGCTAACTTTTAAATAGTTGAAGTGGTTGGTGCCTATGAGAGTTCTTTACTCTTTCCCCTCTTAAAAATTAATATGTATTTTGGAGGAGAAGCTTTGAAACTATATTGATATACTGTTTCTCTTCTTTTACCCACTAATTTTAGTATCCATTGATAAGGTTTGACTGATCAGTTATTACTGTAGTATTTGCCAGTTGATGATTTTGTATCATGTCACTTTTCATCATCTGAAATTCTGTGGTTGGCTCGGTAATAAACTTGCTTAGAGTCGTACATTCATGAAGTTGGGAGCCTGCAGTGACCCTCCAGTGCCAGCCCTCTTGAACAGCCATGTTGGTGAAGGAATGAGTTTTCTATTAATAGAATTTTGGGAACATTTTTTTAAAGTTATTAATTTGCATTCCTCTGGTCTGGATTACAACAGTACTACTTAAAGTTGGTCTATGAATTGTTGCTAACTCAATTGTTGTTGCTATATTTTTGCTGAGGTAAAATTAAGTGCCTGGAAACTTCTACCATAATCTGACTTGTCACGTTTGTATTATATTTTGCAGAAGTATTGGTGTATAACTGCCTCAGGCATGTCCATTGGCATATCTGATGCATATTCTCTATCAATACCTCTTCTGTCTTCAGCTTTGCTTTCAGCTTTGTTACCCTATATGTATTAGAGGCCAGCTCAATCTGGAACCCAGGATTAAAAGTAATGCCTCTTTTATACACTACTATATAAAAATTAGATAAATAATAAGGACCATAAGGACCTCCTGTGTAGCACAAGGAACTCTTCTTAATACTCTGTAATGACCTACATAGGAAAAGAATCTTTTAAAAAATGAATATATGTATATGTTTAACTGATGGACTTTTACTGTGCAGCAGAAACTAACACAGCATTATAAATCAACTCTACTCCAATGGACATTTTTTTAAAGTAGTGCCTCTTTTTATGTGAAAGCACAGGAAGAATGCTGATTATTCTGCATTTTGTGTCCTTACCACCACACAGAGAAGGCACTAATTTTCTGATGAGCAGAGAGAAGGAAAGGAGGGTAAAACTAAACAAGATAGTTTGTCGTTGTTGTTTAGTTTCTTTGTCATGTCTGATAATTAGCAGTCGTCATAAAGAGGCCAAAGAGAAGAGAGAAATTGTTGTGGAGGTGATTCTGTTTGGTTGACCTTGGTGTTGTCAGTTTATCAAGATTCTACTCTGTTGATAAATTTTGAATCTGTAAAGTGTACATTAATTATTAATATTGTTATGATTTTCTCCTTTGTAATAGATTCTTTACACTTAATGATTATTTGTTCATTTTCTAGGAATACAAGAGTTTCCAGAAAATATAAAAAATTGTAAAGTTTTGACAGTTGTGGAGGCCAGTGTAAATCCTATTTCCAAGTAAGTTCTTCTCTGTTGAATTATAGTTACCTATGTGAATAAAGCAACTATGATAAAGTAGAATACTACTTTCTACATTTGAATCAACAGTTAATATCAATCTTAAATCTATACAAAATTTTAGTTTTAGATTAAAAAGGAGCCTTTTTAATACTCTTTCCAACCCCGTATATAACAAAGGTAAATCTGACATCCATACAGATAATGCAAGTGGCGTTCTCCAAGTCCCATGGTCAGTTAATGTCAAAATGAGACTAGAATCTAGGCATCCTTAGTTCAGTGCTACTTGTACAATGTAAGAATGTCTTCACTTGCACATCCAGTGTGTGGCACACTCAAACTTTTGAAAATAATAAGAAAAACTGAAAAGTCAAAAACCTAAAAACAAAAAAGGAAAAAGCTAGGTGATTGGTTGTATTATATACCAAAGGTCACCCATATTCTTTTGTGATCATAATGGCTTGAAGCAGAATGCTTTCCTAGTAACAGAGCTGTTAAATTTTGAAAAAATAGAATGACAAAGCAGAAGATGAATATTGTAAAGCATAGCTTAGTATAGCTAAAATGAAAGTTGAAACCAGCTTTCACATATTACAGTAAATCCCCTACATATGAACGAGTTGCATTCTGAGAGCACATTCATAAGGCTAGTTTATTCATAAGTTAGCCTAGATACCCAATTAACACAATCGACTATACAGTACTGTACTGTAATAGGTTTATAATACTTTCCACACAAATAATACATAAAAAACAAACAAAAAGTAAAGATAACATTTTTAATCTCACAGCATAGTACCTAGAAGAACACAGTACTACCAGCTACATCAGTGCTGCTTTTATGCTTGCTTCTGTACATCCTGGGCTTGAAATAAAGATACCATACTACTTCTTACTGTACATAATACTCTTCAGTAAAGTACACAGAAGCACAACCAGTTGTAGAGGACACATGCCTATGACCGTGTATTCCAGACACGTGGACTCTCATGTTTGAACCTGTAGATGCAGGTTTTCATCTTTGAAAGCTCACAACTTCAAGGTTTGTATGTAGCGGACTTACTGTACAAACTTAACAGGTTTTTCCAGACATAGACAAACATGTAAAGGAAAACATGTAAAGATGATGTTTTACCTGAAAATACTATTCTAGCATCAAGTTCTAGATGTGTAATTTCTTTTGTTAGCCAGAGGAAATAAAAGCAAAGTTATTTATAGGTTCTTATATGACCCTAAATGTCATTCAACTTTTCATATTAGTTCTCATTCGGTCATTATAAAATGTATGATCTTTATTTGATTATTTAGGGACCAAATATTGAAATGGAAAATAATTGACACCAGTAGTTCTCAAATGGGGACAGTTTTGCTGTTAACAGTTATTTGGTAAATTCTGGAGACATTTTTTGGTTTACACAACTTGTGGTGGGCAGTGCTAGCTTCAAGTGATTTAGAGGCTAAGGTGCTAATGCAGAAGACAGCCTCCTGGCAACACAATTATCCAGCCCTAAAAGTCAGCTGGCTTACCAGGCAGCTCAGTGGTAAAGAATTCACCTGCCAGTGCGGGAGTTGCAGGTTCAATCTCTGGGTTGGGAAGATCCTCTGGAGAAGGAAATGGCAGCTCATTCCAGTTTTCTTGCCTGGGAAAATCCCATGGACAAGGGAGCCTGGCGGGCTGCAGTCCATGGGGTAACAAGAATTGAACACGACTTAGCAACTAAGCAACAACAACGAAAGTCAATATTGTCAAAGTTCAGAATTCTTTATTTAGTCCTTTCAATTTCTGTTAGATTCGGTGAATTTCAAGAGTGCCTACTGATGTCATAGTCATGTCCTAAATACATTTCTCTGTGTTGAGGTTCATTCATAGTTGACTGTTATATGCAGATTTTATCTTATTGAGACAAATACTGCTTTACTTCCTTTTTACAAAATGATGAAGATACACACATTGAAGCTGTAAGTTATTATAAAAGGTAAATCTCAATTTGAGGATCACTTATAAAAGAGAAAGCTGTTATCTGTTAAGAGCATCTGTTGGTTAGACTGTTTCTTCGATTTTAATAGGAGACTAAATTCTGCATATGAATTAAATTTGAATCCTGGTTTATTTTATATAGGCTTCCTGATGGATTTTCTCAGCTGTTAAACTTAACCCAGTTATATCTGAATGATGCTTTCCTTGAGTTCTTGCCAGCTAATTTTGGCAGGTAAGTTATAGTTTCTTCTAAAACGTTCTCTTGTTAGCTCTTAACAAAACTTTTGCAAAGTTTACCAAACTACAGGTTGCTTTAGCAATACTGTTAATTATAGTTTCGTGGGCTCTTCTTTTGTAATTATTTCCAAGCATTGTAGTTTTTATAGTTTCTTCAGCACTTGTTATTTTGACTTGGAATTTATTTTCCCAAATAAAACTAAGCAATGAAAATTTAAAAGAAAAAAGTAGTTTAAGAGTTGGTTTTAAAGTATGTAAAAATGAGTTTAAATTGGAATAATTTTTGTATATTTGAGATGGAATGCTTTATTCTCAGCACTTACGTATTTTTTAAATGATCTAATTACTGGTTTATCTGTCTTCTTCACTGGAATCGAAGTTCTAGAGAAAAGAAAAATGTGTTTCTGGGGTCCAGCTTAAATTTGTGCTTCTTGTTGTATTATAGTCCCTGAGTAATTTTTCTAATGAAAAGATGAATTAGTAAATGAACAGTAGGTATTAAATTATTATTGTGTTCAAATTAATTACTAGAGAAAGTGCTATCCAAATATGTGTTAATATGGCAGTGTTCTTTTTTTTTCTTAAAGAGAGATGTATCATATGGTCTCACTTAAATGTGAAATCTAAAGTAACCACCAAAACCCCAACCTCATAAATACAGAGAAAAGATTGGTGTTTGCCAGAAGTGGAGTGGTGGGTAGAGATGGGCAGAATGAGTGAAGGTAGTCAAATGATACAAACCTCCAGTTTATAAAATAAATCATGGGGATGTAAGGTCATGGTGACTATAGTTAACCATACTATATTGTGTATTTGAAAGTTTCTTCAGAGAATAGATCTTAAAAGTCTTCTCAAGAAGAAACATTTTTTTTTACCATTAAGTATAGTGACAGATGTTAACTAGACTTGTTTTGGTAACCATTTCACAATGTAGTTGACCCTGGAACAATGCAGGGGGTTAGGGGTGCTGATCCTCCCAACATAGTTGAACTCTGCATATAATTTACAGTTGGCCCTCCATATCTATAATTCCTTAGTATCCAGGGTTCCAAATCCATTAGATTCAACCAACCACAGATCATGTGGCACCATAGTATTTACTATTGGGGAAAAAAATCTGTATATGAATGGATTCACACAATTGAAACCCATGTTTTTCAAGGGTCAACCGTGGGTTAACTTTAGCTCAAGTGGTTACTCCACCTTCTGATGCCCATGTTCAATGGTCAGATGTATATACAGATATCAAATCATTATGTTGTATACCTGAAACTAACAAAATGTTGTTTGTTAATTGTACTTCAATAAAGAAAAAAGAATTTGGGGCATTGTTGTAGCCCAGTGAACTATGGGACCCACATTATAATACTTTGTATTTTTATATACATACACATATATATGGATCTATGTACACACATATGTACATACATTTCATGTACTTGTTAGATTTCTGTGTCTGGCATTTGGACCACTTTTTTAAATTGAAATATATTTGGCATGTAACACTCTGTAAGTTTAAAGTATACACCTTGCTGACTTGATATGTTGTATATTGTAATATGGTTGCCACTTGTAGCATTAGCAAGCACTTCTGGACCAGTTCTTCTGCTCATTTATCCTCTAATTTTATTGGAACGTGCATCACTGAAGTTCCAGAGGATTTCTCCCTTTCCATGTCCTGTTGTGTTTCTTTGTTTTTCTCTCTCAGACCTCAACTCTAGACTTAAATTATTATTCTCTAATCTACTAATGACTAATAATTTGGGGGAGGATTTCATTAAATGCACAAAGTTTATTAGGATTGGCATTAGGGAACCATTATTTTGTGCTTTGGATATACTTAGAAATATTTATTGCAGCTTCTCCCCCATTAATTCTGAGGAGCAAAGCTAGTCTTTTCTGTCTTTATATTTTTGTGCAATTTTTAACACTGGATTCTGTACATTGCAATTACACAATAAATATTGGTTGCTTTAAAACTTTAGAGGATGACATTAATTCATTAATTAAATTCTTCATCTTTGTCATAGATGCTTGATTTATTTTATTTGTTTTGCAGATTAACTAAACTCCAAATATTAGAACTTAGAGAAAACCAGTTGAAAATGTTGCCAAAGTAAGTAAAGGTGTTATCTTTTCAAAAATTTAGTTCAGCATTTTAAATTCTTAGAGAAATATTAATTTTCTTTTATCTAAAATATGAGTCCAAATCATTTTAAAAGACTGACATTTGTGGTCATTGTATTTTCATTAGCGGTGTTCAGTATAACGATCTTACATCTCTTAGTATTTATTAGTGATTTCATAGCTTTCTGGAACTCAGTCCTGTGACAAAAGTCAGAATAACAAGCATGTAGAGCCCACCTGAGCCCCACAGAAAGGCCCCATTTCTGTACTACGGCTCTGTCTTAGCACTCCTTAGACCCGTAAAGTCTTCCGTGTGGAGTCTGATAACTCTAGTTCTCAGAGCTTGTATGGTCTAGTCAGCTGTAAATTAGAAATGGGATGGAAGGCCCCCTACTGGTAAGCTAACATCAGGAGGAGATGACAGTCCAAGAGCAAAAAAGAAAATGAAAACAGATCTACAGCCTCAAAATGCACTAGTCTATGTCCTTTATTGAAGATATGTCTTAAAACATTCACTACTGTGTTTTTATAGTTTAGGCAGTGGCAAACTACAGACTGGTTAAATTTGGCCCAGTGCCTATTTTTTTCTAAATAGGTTTCATTAGAAGCGCATTCATTTCATTCACTCTCATGTTGTTAATAGCTGCTTTTGCTCAGTGGTAGAGTCAAGTAGTTGTGACAGAGACTGTATGCAGAGCTTAAAATATCTGACCCTTACAGAAAGCTTCCCAGTCTCCTGTTGCAATTTATTTGTCAAGAGTTGTCACCTCTTGATAGAAGCATCTCCCATTTTCCAGGAGTTAGTTGTTCTGTGTACTTAACTTCTGTAGCATCTTATTTATATCAGTTATGACATTTACCACATTAGTCTAATTTTTAAAATGCATTTTACTCTCTTCCTACCTGGCTAGCATATTCTCATGTGCACATGTACTTGATCCTTCTTTTTCCTCACTCCAACCCATGAGTATAAATCTCTGAGGGCAAGAAGTGTACATGGTTTTGATTCTCAAAAGACTGGAATGGTTACAGTGTATATTGTTGGTTGTTAGTATAAATTAAAATGAGAATTCTATGCCTGATATAAATAAAAGATTTTATCTTCAAAAAAAAAATTAAAATGAGAATTATCCTTATTAAAATTCAAAAAGGTTTGACTTTTTGGAGATTTGGTATTGGCATTGGTGAATCATTAGCTTAGAGCTTGACTGTGTGTGTGAATAATCAGGGTATAAATTGTTTACTGAAATAGCTAAGCCTACAGTTAATATGGTGTCTCTGATATCATAGGTAATTCACTTATTTTATCTTCTTATATTTTAATTTTTTTCTTATATTTTAATTTTAACCTCAGATTAGACTCTCTCATGTATTTGCAAATGTAATTCTTTATTGCTTTTTTAAAGACATGTTTACAGTATATGAGGTCTCATAAATTAAGAAGAGGCCATGGTTTTATGTGTCAGGAAAGTCATGTGTATTCAGGTTATGTGAGTAGATCTTTTTTTGTGTGTGTGAGTAGATCTTTTTATGATCAAAGATTTGAACAGTGAAAAAGCTGTTTTAAGTATATAGTTTAGTGAAATTTAATACCATGTTAATCCTGGAGGGCCCAGTACCAAAAACACAAATGATGTATATTTTCTGTTTGAGGCAGGAGAAGAGAAGGTAAAAATGAGTTAAATATGAAGAAAGTTTAGAAATAAGCAGGAGGAAATTTGAGGGATGATTGCTTTTACTTTCTCCTTGAAGTAGGAAGCTGGATCTTAAATGAAGTAGGACCAAATATGCCCATGTTAGCTACAGCAAGTTGAGATGGAGATGCTCTTAAAATTTTACAATGTATTTCCTCTTTTTTATTACATATCTGTGTCATTTGTGTTTTCCTAAATCAGTTTTAAAACTTAGATTTTTAAGGATATTGTTTGTAATTAAGTTTTCCAGTGTAAAATTTTTTATACCCGTTAAAAAAAATAACACCCTTGTTGATATAAAGTGAATTGCTACATGAGAATTTTCTGTGTTATCATTATAACAATATCTAATTAAGAAAAATAAAGCCATATTTTCTTTTTTCAGTCTTACTCCCTCCGCACAGCTCTCTTTACCTTTCTCACATATAGCCTGGTGTAATATTATGGACATAGGAATTAGTATCTAATCTTTCTTAAGAAAGATCCTGGAAACACCTTTTCACTTTGTAATAAAGCAAATTGGAACTGAATTACAGGTTTTCTGGACAAAGACAGATATGAGTAAAGGAAGTGAAATTTGTGTATCTCATAGAACCTGAAAATAGGCACTCAGAGAATCAAAGTTAAATAAAGCAACTTTGAGAAAAATTGGTACTGGGAGATGAATTAAATTAAAAGAGTGTTGATAAAATGGCATATTTAAAATGAAAGGGTTTGGGAAAATTAGCTTTCTGTAATATTAGGTGAGTAACATAGTAATTGGGCTTCTCAGGTGGCGCTAGTGGTAAAGAACCTGCCTGCCATGCAGGTAGACATAAGAGACCCAGGTTTGGTCCCTGGGCCGGGAAGATACCCTGAAGAAGGAAATGGCAACCCATTCCAATATTCTTGCCTGGAGAATCCCATGGACAGAGGAGCCTGGTGGGCTGCAGCCCATAGGGTCGCACAGAGTTGGACACGACTGAAGTGACTTAGCACACATGCACAACATAATAAATTACTTTACAATTATTACATATATATATATTTTTCACTAAAAAGCCAGAGAGATTTAAGCTGATTTTGTCTTACTTTCTATTACGAATTTGTTGAATGTCAAGAGAAGATAGAAAGAATATGTGTTCTTATGCCATAATTTAAGGAGTCTGTTGGTTTTTAATGATGTTAATTTCCCAGTTAACATGCTGATATATTGATATTATGATGGTTGTATTTTGCTATATGCAAAAAAGATTTAATATAGTTCCTAAGGAGTTCCCTAGTGTAGTCTGTTGGTTAGGATTCAGCACTTTTACTGCTGTTGTCAGTGTTCAGTCGATAGTCAGGGAACCTCCTGCAGGCCATGTGGGATGGTGCACCCCCCAATTTTTTTTAATTTAACGTAGTTCCTTATCTGGGTACCTGGTAGCAATCTATTAAATAGTAGGTTTTTCTAAAAATAATAATTTAAGAGTATAAATATATTTGAATTAATTAACAGTTCAGTTTAAGAAGTACTTTTACTGAAGGAATGTAAAATACAACTTAGTTTATTTCATCATGAAATCAGTTTGTACATTCAGGTTTCTGTAACAGCAGAGAACTGTTGGTATTGAGTTGAAAGTTTGAAAATGGTATATTGTAGCTTTAATTTAAAATAAATACAGTCTCCTAATTATATTTTTGATTCATGTAAAACTTTGTTGTGAATTGTGTTGAATTTAATTTGAAAGTGTGGAGAACAATGTAATATTTACTGTTCTTGGAATTTTCAGTTAATTATCTTAAAGTTTTTTACAAATACACCATCAGTCTTGAAAAATGGTAGTAATTAATATGAAGCTACCTAACAATCTAGTCATTAGTTGCTTTATAGTATCTGAGAAGTTATTCTGTGAAAAAAACAAAAAATGAAAAGTCAGTTACTGGCAATCTGGACTGTAATTACTGCAGTTACTTCTTAAGAATATAAATAACCTAGGATTTCCCTGACGGCCCAGTGTTTTAAGACTCCACACTTCCAATACAGGGGGTGCAGGCTCAATCCCTGGTTGGGGAACTAAGATCCCATATACTGTGTGGCATGGCCAAAAAGTAAAATAAAAAAGAATAGAAATAACCTGAAGAGAATTAACCAAAGAAGAAATAACCAAAATCAGAGAATAATTAATAACTTATTTCATTTTTATTTAGAAATTAAATCTGACTTATTTCTTAGAAAATCATTATTTTTATTTTGTCAACATTTGAAAGCCTGTATGTTATTAGGTAATACATAAGAATATTTTACAAGTTTCCTTGTAGTTGTTATGTTTGTGTACTTAATTCCTTATTACTCCATTGTGCATAGAACCATGAATAGACTGACCCAGCTGGAAAGACTGGACTTGGGAAGTAATGAATTCACAGAAGTGGTAAGTTCTCACCAGCCTTACTATCCATAAGTCATTCATTTGATCAAGAAAAAAATGTGAAAATTAAGGTATTTATTTCTTTGCATTTTTAAAGTATAAAATCAGATAAAGATAGACACATATTTTGGAGAGACAAGATATAAAAGTTTTTGACAGGATAATTAAACAGATAACATCTAATAGGAGTGAGGATAAAAATGTAAAATTAATGAGAAGCCCATGGAAAAGGTAATTAAAAGTTTTTGGCACAGAAAGTAGAAATTCTGAAAGATTATAAGGGAAAAGCTTTCATCAGACTAGAATGCATCAGGAAAAGAACTTGAGTCAAAAATAACTTCATGGGAATATTGCTTAGGAATTTATTCAGTGGTAGTATACTTCTCTATAATTTTACTTAATAGCTAAAAGAAAAACATTGAATGAAACAACTGTTATTTTCGAGTTGATAATGAGACGTCTGGATTGCGTTTTTGCTTTGTTTCCAAAGTAGTATGCTGAATCAAAAAGAAAATAATATAAGCAATTTGTTGTCTTCAGTCATTGCTCCAAGAGAACTCAGATAATAAGCTAGATATTTGTTTTTTGAAGAAAAGCTCGTTAACTTGAAAAATCATCATTAAAAATTTTACACTATGTTTACAAGTTTGTTTTTTTTAATTGTTGCAAGTTTCAAGTGCTAGTCTCAAGAACAAGAGTTTCTCAGCACTGGTGCTGCATAATTGTACTGTGGGACAATTATTAGCTCACTAAATAGCTTTTCAGCTGAAATCACTGGAGGAGCATGGTGGTTTTGGGTATCTCATATTTTTTCTAAAATACTATCTTTCATATTCTGTATTTTAATTGAAGCTGATACATGATGACTCCTACTGTTTTGTAGATGTTTTTACTCTTTTTTAAAAAATGCATGTTCTGTGCTTTGTAAATTATCTGTTACATATTTTCTCAATGTTTTGTCTTTACATGTATTAATCTATTGCCGTATTAACTATTAAGTTTCTAAATTGCTATTAATTTTATAAATCACAGCAGAATTCAAAATCATTAAATTTTGGACCATTTCCTTCTTCAACCATTACACATTTTAAAAAAAATTACTATTACAGTTGTAGCAGATAATGCACAAAAGGGGCTTCCTAGGTGGCTCAGTGGTAAAGAATCTGTCTGCCAGTGCAGGAGACGCAAGTTCAATTCCTGGGATGGGACGATCCCCTGGAGAAGGAAACGGCAACCCACTCTAGTATTCTTGCCTGGGAAATCCCATGGACAGAGGAACCTGGCAGGCTACAGTCCATAGGGTCACAAAGAGTCGGACACAGCTGAGCACACACACATTCAAAGCACAGAGAGAGATATTTTTAATCCAAGTTAAACCTAGAATTCTTACTTATATGTTAACAGTAAATCTAAGTGACATGCCTTATATGTGTTACTTGTGTTATAGTGATAAGATATGATGACACCTCAATGCCATCATACTGTCAATGATTGGACACAGGTTTGTAGGTTAACAGAAATATCTTTAAAGGATTCATTCAGAAGAGCCTCCAGGGGTGAATAATCTAAGGGTAAATTTTGCCTGAATACCAAGTCCACTAAGTCACTTTAATTTTTTGGTCCTCAACATTTTATTATAAACAGCATTCTACTATGTAATTACTAGAAGTTTAAAATAACACAATAGGTTTATCATATGATTATGCCTTGGTTTACTTACTTTTCCTTATTATTGGGCTTTTAAGATGTAGCTTGCCTTATTTCTTTTTTCCTCCCTCTTAGTCATCAGGGAATAGCTTTTTTTTAAAGTTTCCTAAAAGTCTACATCTTTTTGTGGAGAATGATTGAGAGTATACGTTGATTGTATTCTTGAAAGTAATGGATCTTACTAATTGTGTAAATACTTTAACCTGTTATGTAATCAAAAGCTTAATTTATACAATCTGCTATTATGGAATGTCTTTAGTAATATTTGTGTAATAATTATAACACAGTGGAAAGACTTGCGTTTTGGCTCTGCTTTTTTCCCCTTGTAATTTAAAAAAAAGTCTTTAAAACTGAAAGTTATTATTAAAGTAGAAATACCCAGGGGAGCTTCTTTTGCCAAATAAATATATCCAAGTAAATTAATGTATCTCCCCCTCCACTTCCATCTAAACAGCCTGAAGTACTTGAGCAGCTAAGTGGATTGAAAGAATTTTGGATGGATGGTAATAGACTGACTTTTATTCCAGGGGTAGGTATATCAAATTTTAAAGACTTTGCTGATTGCTGTCTGTCTTTTGCATTTTTACAGATGGTATGTTTTTAAGTACGTTTAATCAATTTAAAATGATTATTCTTAATACTGTTAGATAGAAGCAAATTATATTTTTTTATCATCAATACCTTTTTTTTAACTATGTTGTGTTTTAGGTGTACAATAAAGTGAGTCAGTTATACATATTCATATACTCCTCTTTTTCAGACTCATTTCCCACATAGATCGTTACAGGGTGTTGAGTAGAGGTGCCTGTGCTCTGCAGTAGGTCCTGAGTACATGTTTTGTATATGGTAGTGTGTGTGTGTCAATCCAGATCTCCGGATTTATCCCTTGGCCCCTTCCCCCTTGGTAGCCATAAGTTTGTTTTCTACATCTGTAACTCTATTTCTGTTTTGTAAATAGGCTCATTTGTACCATTATTTCTTTTTTTTAGATTCCACATACAAGTGATATCATATGATATTTGTCTTTCTTTAACTTACTTCACTCATTGTGACAGTATCTAGGTTCATCCACGTTGCTGCAAATGACATTATTTCATTCTTTTTGATCGCTGAGTAATATTCCATTGTATAAATGTACAACATCTTTATCCGTTGCTCTGTCGATAGACATTTAGGTTGCTTCCATGTCTTGGCTATTGTAAATAGTGCAGTAAAGTTTGGGGTGCATGTATCTTTTTGAATTGTGGTTTTCTCCAGATATATGCCCAGGAGTGGGATTACTGGATCATATTGTAGTTCTTTATTTAGTATTTTAAGGAACCTCCATAATGTTCTCCATAATGGTTGTACCAATTTACATTTCCATCAGCAGTGTATAAGGGCTCCCTTTTCTCCACGCCTTTTCCAGCGTTTATTATTTATAGGTTTTTTTTTAATGATGGCCATCCTGTATTTGAGCTGATACTTGTTGTAATTTTCATTTTCATTTCTCTGATAATTAATGATGTCAGGCATCTTTTCATATGCCTTTTAACCATCTGTATGACTTCTTTGGAGAAATGTCTATTGAGATCTTCCACACATTTTTTGATTGGGTTTGTCAACACATTCTTGATTAAAATTTTTATATTTCTATAATAAATTTTTGTAGAACACAGTTGACTTGTGTACAACTCAGGGATTAGGGGCACCAACCCTTTCCACAGTGAAAAAAATCTGTGTGTGTAATTTATAGTCACCTTTCCCTATTTGAAATTGCTTCATAACAAGGATTCCTCCTCAGGGTCTGACGTGCTGCATCTGCAGGTTGGACTAACTACACTGGAGTACTGTAGTATTTGCTGTTGAGAAAACTCCATGTGTGAATGGGTCTGGGGAGTTGTGTGTTGTTCAAGGCTCAACTTCAAATCTCTTTCTAATGTCATGGAGCATGTCCTTCCCAGGGGTTGCAGTTGAGCTTATATCCTGTTTCATTTTGCCCAGGGAATTGTTGAAATAGGCTATTTTAGCAGCTGACAGTTGTGTTCATTCTCAGACCTAAAGCCATATGAATCCCCATATGTGCTAACTCCCTTGCAAATGATGGGCAGCTAAATTCCCAAAGAAAATTATGTACTTGTCACTCTGCTAGGCTAAAATAGTAGGGGCTCTAAGCTTTTACTGACTATATCACTAATGGCATTAAAAATTATGAATCCTCTCATATAAACATTTAATTATAAATTATAATTTGTCACTAAGTTTCTTATCTAAACTTTCCACAAACTGCTGTTGACAGAGTCCTTAGATTTCCTTTTTTTTTAACTTACAGTTTGTTGGTAGTTTGAAACAGCTCACATATTTGGATATTTCTAAAAATAATATTGAGATGGTTGAAGAAGGAATTTCAGGATGTGAAAACCTTCAAGATCTCCTGTTATCAAGCAATTCACTTCAACAACTGCCAGAGACTATTGGTTTGTATTGGTTTCTAATTCATGTGATTAAAACTAGTATACAATCTGAGAAACTTACTGCCATTGCTTGATTCAAAGCTTCCATATATCAAATTTTATTTATAAGATAGTTTTACTGTATTCTGAAGTCACAGATCCTATTTGAATTTTTCCTGCTGTGATCAGTTACTCAGTTTAGTCTTTTGTTGACATTACTGTTTTTCTTTAAGGAAATACCATTTTTATCACTGTAATAAAGTTTGAATTCTTTAAAAGAGATTAATTTACCCAAATTCGCTTTAACTCTTGACTATGGCCCTTACCTACTAACTTTTTCCTATCTTAACTTCATTTTATACTTACAAGAAGACAGCCAGATGAGCAAAATCCTTTGAAAATTATACGGTTGACCCTTCAGCAATGATGGTGGTTAGGGGGCCAACCTTCTGCAGTGGGAAAATCTCATATAATTTATAAATGTACTTTTGTATTCACATTTACTTCCTCCCTATCCATGGTTCTACATCTCTGTATTCAACCAACTGTGGGTCATGTAGTACTGTAGTAGTAAATTGAAAAAAGTTCACATACATGTAAGTGGATCCATATACTTCAAACCTGTGTTGTTCAAGGGTCAGCTGTATTTATGTAGTTACTTATCTGGTGGTGCATCAAGGGAATTGAATTATCAAAAACCAAAAACTTACATATTGGCATCTTCATGATGTTTGACTATAAAAATCAGAAATATTTTTACATATTTTTCAATTGAATTACATAACTGTTATAGCTCAGGTTGTGTTTTGCAAGTTCTACTATAATTTTTCCAACACTTTTTATTTTAAATTAAACTCCATTTTTATTGTTTTAGGATTTAGTACACTTAAAGTATGCAGAATGGCTTGTTACACTCTTAAGAAAACTCCCTTAGGACTACCACTTCTTTAATCTTTGATACCATAACTTTGTGCTGTGTATCCTCAATGTGATGTCACAGAATTGTTTCAAGGAGCATGGCTACAACAGTGAGCAGTGGAGACAAAAAGTACATACTCTTTTATGAAGCTTACATTTTAGTGAGGCCTAAATGGATAAATACACACTAATGTTAAGAGACAATATGTATGTGAAAATTGTAAATGCTGGGTAAGGGCATGGAGAGATGGTAGGGTTGAGGTGGTGTCTCTATTAGATAGCTTGGCTTTTTAAAAGTTCTTTATGATTCATGTCAAATGTAATATGTGGCTCACTTGACTGTTGATTGACTTCTAGTTCAAGATGAAAAATTGTTTATTATTTCTTCCCTTAATAGGTTCATTGAAGAATGTAACAACTCTTAAAGTAGATGAAAATCAGTTAATGTATCTACCAGACTCTATAGGAGGGTAAGATTTTTGTGTATTAAAAGAACTAGATTTTTCTTTCAGTTCAGCATCCCATATAATTTTTCAGATAATTGTTAACATTAATAGGAGATTCTAAAAACATTTAAATAAGCAATTGGCTGCAGGTTGGGTTTATTTATAATCAAGATAGGCCACTTTTTCTACAGGTGAACTTTAGCTTAGTAGAAATAGATTTTCTTCTAGATTTGTTAAAGTCAAGTTCAAATGGTCATATGTTCTTGAGTTTTGGATTATATACAGGAAATTTTTTGTTAAAATATGTGTTTTCTTTTTTAATTAAAGGTTAGTATCAATAGAAGAACTGGATTGTAGCTTCAATGAACTTGAAGCTTTGCCTTCATCTATTGGGCAGCTTACTAATATAAGAACCTTTGCTGCGGATCATAATTATTTACAACAGTTACCCCCAGAGGTACTGTATTTAAATTTTATTTTGAATTTTTACTTTTTCTAATTATTAATTATAGGTGTCCAGTGTGGTTTTCTTTAGTTTCTTTCAGAGATAATTATGTAACTAAGTTATGTATTTTCTGGATAATAATTAGTTATATTGATTTGCTAATACTTTTATTCATATGTGAAAGTTAATAATTGAAAAGGAAAAATGTAATTACTTTTATACATGAGAAGAGTACTTTTATTACTTTTGAAAATTATACTTCACTTACATTTATTAAGCAGTAGGCTAAAGTTTTAATCGATAATTCTGTTTCTCTTTCAGATTGGAAGTTGGAAAAATATAACTGTGCTATTTCTCCATTCTAATAAACTTGAGACACTTCCAGAGGAAATGGGTGATATGCAGAAATTAAAAGTCATTAATTTGAGTGACAATAGGTTTGTAACAGTGTAATTCATCATTTGGCTTATAGAAGACATCTGTTGGATGAAATTAAAGTTCCATTATATGTGATAGAAAACCCAGTACATGTTTTTCTTTGCATGTGTAGTTTTGGGTTTTGTGTAGAATTTTCATTTGAAAGACTAATTTTACCTGATGTTAATTATCATACAGTGGTTGTTATGGTTTATTTTATGTTGACTTTTGCTGTATAGTCTTAATCATATGATAGCCATTTTTATTCCTAAAGTCAGATTTTTGCTTTAATACAGCTGTTGAACAAAGCAGCTTTTAATCTTACCTACTCCTTGTATTAATCTGGGCAGACATGTGACTAGACACCCACTCAAATAATTTGGACAACACAGGCAAGGTACACAGCAAATAGATCACTAGGGATGCTAAATTGAAGCAATGTTTAAGTTAAGAACAAATGTCTATAATTTTTTCTGGTGTAAAGAGGCTAATAGTGGTAAAAGAATATTTGTAGAGCATTTTTATGTTTTGTTTTTGTTGTATCTTAAAAATATTCAAAACAGCCCTAATAATAAAACAGGTATTCCCATTTTATGGAGGGGAAAAAATTAAGACTCAGATTTAAGGTGATTCACATTGCTTATAAAAGAGAGCTTTTAGTGTAAACTCGGTTTTCTGACTAGGGTATTCAGACTGTTCACACCTTCCTCCTTTTAAATTGTTAATTATAGCTATGCAGTGCGGTTTCAAACTAAATCCCTTTAAAATTAAATTCTTTCAGCTCATACTTTATACCCTAAAACTAGAGCCCTAAGTTCCAACACCTTGAGTTTCAGAGACCTAGATTCCCTAGGTTCCTTTGAAATTAGGCATAGAAGAATAGATAAACATAAGATGGAAAGTTTAAGTAGTCATTTTGTTTTAAACAGGGTCCTGTTTCAAGTTAGCATTCTACTAAATATCTGTGTTACTTAATTTTCACTCAGTATAATGTTAAAATAGTCTTGCATATGAAAGTGCTGGCTCACAGTGAAATAAAAAGAGTGCCATATTTATAACATAAACTCTTATTAAGAGTCGTTCCTATAGCAATTTGTTCTCTCTAAATGCAAATAAAACATCCAAATCAATTTTTTGAAACATTGTTTAATTTGTCCTTGCCTTTGCATTAAAGTATGGATAGTTGCTAGATTTTCCTAGGTAATTTTTTTGAGGTTATTAAATTATCCAATTTCCCCCCCAATCAAATTGACTCAATGGAAGATTTGTATTTTTAAAATTAATTCTTACAAAATTGGATAGTATTATGTCCTATTCAAAGACCAATAATTGATTTTCTCCTGAATTAAATGTTTTTCTCCTATTTTCATATGCAATAACATAACATTATTTAGAAGACCATTAGATCCAGTTCTCATTTTAACGTTTCTCATTTTTAAAGTTTAATTTTTGTTTGCATTTTTTCCCACAGATTAAAAAATTTGCCCTTTAGCTTTACAAAGCTACAGCAATTGACTGCTATGTGGCTCTCAGATAATCAGGTAGGCATTCTGATTTTGTAAATTGATTATGCATTCTCATTTATTTAGGACTATTTAAGAGTAGTTCTAATCTGATACATATGTAAAAACATACAGATGTAGATCATTTTTGTGAAATATGTGTAGATTTATGAAGTCCTTTTTGGCCTGACTTCTCCTAAATCTGTAAAAAGGTAGATTAGGACAAAATCCTCCGTAAATTTTAATGTTTTTATAGAGACTCTCTGTGGTTTATATCTGTATACATTTGATAATTTAAATTATGTTTCTAATCAAACAATTTGACAAACCTTAGAGAAGTATTTCTAAGGAATTAAGAGTTGTTCCTTGAACTTTTCTTTGACATACATTTATTGAAAACTTATAAAAAAGAAAACTTACAGTAGGACATGAATGATTCTGGGAGCCGGAGTTACACTGATGAAGCAGATAGAATCTTCTTACATTCTCATTGAGTTTACCTTCTCATGGGAGGCACTCGAGACAAATTAATAACTAAGTAATAATATTTCAGAACTACAGAGAAAGAGTTTGCTAGGCGTTGGAAAAGTAGCAAGGTTGGAGTAAATATACTATTTTAAATCGAGTGATTTAGGAAATACCTGTCTGAAGATGGGAACAGTAGAGCAGTTTCTCAAATGAAATTAAGAGCGAGCCATGATGTGAGTTGGGTGAGGGGTGCATTTAAAGACTACTAAGAATAAAGATGTCAATACTGGAATGAGCTCAGTGTGACCGAGGAACAGATGAAAGGCCAGAGGACTGGAGTGTAGTGAGCAAGGGAGAGACTATACAGTTAGATCAGGGGAGGGAGACTGAGGTTAGGTCCCCTGGGACCTTGTAGGCATACTAATCCCTTGGGGTTTCACCCTGAGGTAGAAAGAAATCTGTTGAAGTATTTCATTCCAGGAAATAATGAGATATGATTTACATTTTTAAAAGATCATTCTGGCTGCTTTGTGAAGAATGGACTGTGGGTACTGAGGGTGAGGGTGGCATATTCTGTGTTGGAAGCAAAAGTTAAATAAGAAAGCTATTGCAGTTAGTTTAGAAGGACATGTTGCTGGATTTCACCTAATAGGATAAGAGTGGAGATTGTGAGGAGAGCTCCGATTTTGGATGCATTTTTAAGAAAGCTGTTGCCAGAGGGACTTACTGATGGACTCAATGTGCAACTTCAAAGAAAGAACTGAAACAGTATGACTTTTAGGTTTTTAACCTAAGAAAGTACAGTATTGGAATTGCCATTTTCTGAGATAGGAAAGATGGGAGAGGAGTAAGTTTGGGGATAAACTTAATAGTTTGATTTTATGAACGTCAAGTCATTAGTTGAGTATCTATAATTGCAACTCAGGTATTGGCTGGAGATAAAATTTGGGAGTCAGCATTGTGCAAAGGGAATTTTATACCATGGAAGTGCATTCAATTACTAGAGAGATAGAGAAGAAGGTCAAACATTGAACTCAGGAATGAAAGGGATCCCAGAAAGAAAATAAAAACCACCAGCCAACAAGAGAATGTGTTATCTAGAGAGACATATGAAGAAAGTGCTTCAGGAAAGATCAACTTAGTCAGACATTGTTGATGAGTTAGGTATATGAGGACTGCTAATTAACCATTGGGTTTGTTAAGACAAAAGTAATTACTGATGCTGAGGAGTAATAGTTTTAGTGAAATGGTGGGGGTTAAATTTTGATTTAAGTGTGTTATAGTACATGGAAAGAAAGAAGGTTGGGGCAATGAACATATCTTAGTAGCCCAGCTGAGTTTCATTGTGTAGACTGTTAAGCTTGTTTTAATGGATAAGAAATCTCTTGTATAATGTCACCATAATAATGGATTGTAGGTCCTGATCAAAAAGAAAAGAATAAGGACTACCTCATCTGTAATTATGAGGAAACCATTTTTTCTGTATCTATTCTCAAGTATTTCTTGCTAGTAAATGTTTTTAAACAAAACAGAATATAACATTTACTGATCCCTTTAATAAGTTAATGCTTTGTGTTTGAGCAATACTTTATAATTTATCTAAAGCTTTAGATAAATCTAAAGGTTTAGATACACAATTCTCATATAAATAGATAGTCCTAAATTCCATCATCAAATTCGCTTGGGAGACATGTTATATCCTTCTTTTGGATTATGTTAGCGACCCTGATGTGTTCTGATAGTAAAGAAACCCTCTTGTCTATATTTCAGAATTCTCTAAACTTCTTAACTAAGAAACCCTTTTGCCCTAACTCTTAATAATATCTTAAAAACCTTATGTTGATATTGCTCCACACTTATGAATCGGTCTGTATATCTATTTGTTCTACAAATTAGAGAAAGAAATATTAAAATAATAATTTTGTTTTCATTAGAACTTGAACACAAGTGATCACTACATCTATTAAATGTGTCAGTTCATGTATATATACATGTGTGTGTATATATGTATATCTCTCTTACTTGAATATTTACATTTTAAGTCTGATATGAAGTTTAGCTGCTGGATTCACAAAACGTTTAAACATCTGCTGGGCTCTGGCTCAAGTACCTATTACAACAATATGAATGAGACATGGCTCTTGGTCTTGAGGACTCTGAACTGTTAATATATTAGAACTGCTGTGGATAGATCTGTGCCAGAAAATTATGCCAGATGACTTATTAAGGTGAAATTAATAGTGTAGTGTGTGTACAATCTTCTCTCATTCACCTCTTCTTGCACCTCATTTGTAGATTAAAGTAAAAATTATGATGATATGGGGCTTTGTTTTCCCTAGTGTAGCAAAGTAATAAATAGTAAAACATATGTGATGTAGCTATAAAACCTCCCTTACAGTATGAGGTAGTCATTTCCATGTAAAAGGATGAAATGTAGGGGAGAAAAATATGTGAAAGTAGTTTGATTATAAATTATGAAAATAAATTGCTTCTGGACATTTCACTGACCATGAAGAATATAAACCTATAGGTAGTACATGCAGTAACATAATCTTTCATAAGTCTCTAGAAGGTTCAAACAGAACAGTTGATCATTCATTCCTCATTCATTTTGTCATTCTTATTCAGGAGCCATTTATTGAACAGCTATTCTGTGCCAGGCAAACTAAGATGGGCCAAATAAGGATATTAAGAAAGTTGTTTTAATATGGTATGGTAAAAGACTTGATAGGCTTCAGGATCAGAGAATGGGCGCTTCACTTGGGGATATAAAGGCCAGTTTCCCAAAGGAGGAAATGCCTGCTGTGCCTAAAAGAGGAATAAATCTTCTCAAGAGAGTAATAGTAGTAAATGATGAAAGAGGAAGAGTATTCTGGTTAGAAGGAATATCAGCAGCCTAAGCACTTATTAGTAAAGCAGTGTAATCAGTGTCTGTACAAGTGGTTTTATGACTAGAGCATAACCTGTAAGGTGGAAGAGTTGGACATGAGGCCACAGAGGTAGACACAGACCAGGTCATGGAGGATCTTATATGCCATACAAAGGAACTTGCATTATATTTCAAGGATGACAAATAGATTTTTAAAATTTTACATGTCAACTTTGATAAATTATAATTTTTAAAAGGATTCTAAAGCCATATTTAGGCTCAGAGGAAAATTGTTGTGCTTAGGTTCAGTGTAATTTATTGACTTTACTAGGACACTTGATAGTGAAAGCGTCCTCTATGATAATTGTCAGAATGAATAGTAAGTGTAAAAATAGGAATGTCCAAGGCAAACTGAATGTTTGGTCATTATAGTCATAATCAATTATTCATGTATGTAATCAGATCATGGCATCTGGTCCCATCACTTCATGGGAAATAGATGGGGAAACAGTGGAAACAGTGTCAGACTTTATTTTTCTGAGCTCCAAAGTCACTGCAGATGGTGATTGCAGCCATGAAATTAAAAGACGCTTACTCCTTGGAAGAAAAGTTATGACCAACCTAGACAGCATATTAAAAAGCAGAGATATTACTTTGCCAACAAAGGTCTGTCTAGTCAAGGCTATGGTTTTTCCAGTGGTCATGTATGGATGTGAGATTTGGACTGTGAAGAAAGCTGAGCACCGAAGAATTGATGCTTTTGAACTGTGGTGTTGGAGAAGACTCCTGGGAGTCCCTTGGACTGCAAGGAGATCCAACCAGTCCATCCTAAAGGAGATCAGTCCTGGGTGTTCATTGGAAGGACTGATGCTGAAGCTGAAACTCCAATACTTTGGCCCCCTGATGGGAAGAGCTGACTCATTTGAAAAGACCCTGATGCTGGAAAAGATTGAGGGCAGGAGGGGAAGGGAACGACAGAGGATGAGACGGCTGGATGGCATCACTGACACAATGGACATAGGTTTGGGTGGACTCCTGGATTTGGTGATGGACAGGGAGGCCTGGCGTGCTGCGATTGATGGGGTCACAGTCGGACACAACTAAGCGACTGAACTGAACTGAATCAGTTTAAGAGAAGTGATCCTGGGACACATGCCAGCACTACTATAGGAGATAAGGAACCTGTGTAACATACAGGCAGGCAAGTGACATGGTCAGACGGGTCTACTAGAAAGGCTTTGGGGCCTGCATTATGGAAGATTTAGTAGCGGTGATGCCCATGGGAAGGCCTATTGAAGGCCATTGCCATACTCAGGTCAACAGAAAATGTTGGCTGAAGTAAAATGGTGATGACAGAGCCAGTGAAAAGACTGTATTTAGGACATAACTTTAAACATCACATTAGTAGAATGTGTGGAAAATGCATATATGTGAGAAGAAAAGGAGTTAAGGCAAAGATCAACCTCAGAGGTGTGCCCTGAGTGACTAGGTGGATATTGATTCCATAACTAAGAACCACAAGAGAAGGAAATATGTTTATATAAAGGTATTAAGTTCTAGTAAGGTTTATTGGGTTTGAAGTACCTTTGGCATATCAGGTAGACATGCAGAGAACAATTCGAGTGACCTTGAACCACTACCATGACACTACCTGCCACTTTGTTTTAAACTAAGGTTTCTGTGCTCTTGGTTTCTCCATTCTTTTAATTTTTAACCTCCAAGGATTTCTTCAAATTACTCTTGAAGACCTAATTTCTTTTTGCACAGTAGTGCTATATATTTATTCCTTTCATTTGTAAAATTTATAGAAGACTTGTAGTGTGACAAGAGATATCAGCCCATCATCTTAATCACTTTTTCTTGGGAGTGGTTTCATAGCTTTTTATTATTATCTCAAAAGGGATTGTTGTCAGATTATTTGTTAAATGTTGCTGCTGCTGCTAAGTTGCTTCAGTTGTGTCCGACTCTGTGCAACCCCATGGACGGCAGTCCACCAGGCTCCTCTCTCTCTGGGATGCTCCAAGCAAGAATACTGGAGTGGGTTGCCATTTCCTTCTCTTTTTAATGTTAGGGGTGGATTAATCCTGTGGAATACTAACATTTAAGTGGCAAACAAGTTACTGGGCTTTGAAGGAGTGGCTATAGAGGTAGAAGGAGAACTATATGATAGTGTTTTTTAAGATAAGGATGAAGCAGCTGGCCTGAAGAACGGAGTTGCAACAGGATAAATCTAATGAGAGGTTAGTTCAAATGAAGTCTGAAAAACATCAGTTTTTTTTTGGCAAGTCATAGCTATCTTGCCAACTTACCTTGGCTATAGCTAATGCAGTTTTAGAAGTATATGTCAAATACCAGATTGAAGTAGTTTAAGGAATAAATAGATGACTGAGTAGAGACCTGTGGTTATTGATTAGTCTTTTAAGAAGGTTGGATAAGAAAGAAAAGGAATAGAACAGAAAGAAATTGGTAACTAGGGGCAAGGTAAGAGAGCATGTTTATAAGTTGTTGGAAAGAGGCTCTATGGAGATTGGGATTAGAGAGTGATGGATAACTGGAGTGGAAGCTGATGGAACCAAAAGCTCTGGCAGGTATTCTTACATTCTTGAAGGGATCTTGGGTGTGACGTTTGTGAGAGGAAGGGCTAAAAATGTTCACGGTAAAATTCTTAGAACGTAACATTTTCCAAACTCTTAGCAGTTCTTGAATCCTATTTTTATTAAAAATTTTTTTCAAAGATGCTATCTTCTTCAAAATTCAATTTAGGAAGTTTGGAAGAATTTTCAAGCAGCATTGGGAGTCTGTTGAAGTTTTTACCACAACCTTGTTGTTAATACGAATTTGCTCAACTGTGTGATATAGAGAAAGCATGCAATTGGAATAATTCTGGGTTGCACTTTGTCAACCCAGGTGCAAGAGAAGGCCAATGCAACAAGGAGGTCTGGTAACTGGCAGGAAAGTGGTTATAAAGAGATAAGTTGAGGTATGAAAAGAGAAGCAAAGACAGGAAAGAATGATAGTGATAAAGTTGAAAGTTGAAGAGAGTGACAGTCTTGGTGGGATTGATGAGCAAGTATGTAGGAGCAATGAAGTGAGGAATCTGCATGAAGTCTATGTTACATGCTCTGCTGATTGTCTTTTTTTTTTTTTTTTTTTGCTGATTGTCTTTTGACTGAGCACTTCTTAGTTTCCTTTTCAGGGATTTTTTTCTGCCAGTATCTTATATGTTGAAGCCCCTCATGGTGCTCTAGGCTCTGCTTTATTTACTTTCTCTGTACCAGTTACTGACTCTCTCTTAGTAGTGTTAGTGGCTCTGTCGTGTTCGACTCTGTGATCCCATGGACGGTAGCCCACCAGGCTCCTCTGTCCATGGGATTCTCCAGGCAAGAGTACTGGTGTGGGTAGCCATTCCCTTCTCCAAAGGATCTTCCCAGCCCAGGGATCAACCCAGGTCTCCTGTGTTGCAGGCAGATTCTTTACCATATAAGCTACAGATACCAGTTACTGACTATATCATGATTATTCTTAATAATTGTCTTCAACTCAGTTCTGTTTCCTTAACTTTACACTCATTGTCTGTTTAACACTGTGCCTTAGATGTCTCAAATTCAACCAACCTAAAGCTGAACATTTCATCTTCTGCTTCAGATCTTTTTCTTTGCTAGGGTTCCCTAGGTCAGCAAAAAGTACTTGTTGGATACAGAGATCTGAGACTGTAATTCTTAACTACTGATTCTCCCTATACTTCAGTGCAGTGAATCACTAAACTCTGTCTAGGCTTAACCATTAAATACTAATATATCAGATGTTTCTATGCTTTGCTTTATGCCTGCTCTTCCTTCCCTTAAATAGAGTTCACCATCATCTTTCAGTTAGACCTGCACTGTCCAAAACAGTAGTCATTGTGAGTAGTCCAAATTGAGATGTGCTATCAGTGTAAAATACACACTAAATTTTCTGCACTTAGTATGAACAGAGTGTAAAATCAATTGACAATTTTTATTATTGATTACACTTTAAAATGACAGTTTGAATAAGTTTAAATTAAATACATTGTCAAAATGAATTTAATCTCTTTTTAGAAACATGTGGCTACCAGAAAATTTTAAATTATCTATGGGTCTCATTTTTTATCTCATTATAATTTCTGTTGGATGGTGTTGACTTAAGATCATTGAGATAGCTTCCTAAGAGGTCTCTTCCTCCAGTGTTGCCACAGCCCCTAATCTTCTATCACCCGAATTCCATTCAGAACCACACTATAACTCAACTGGTCCTTTACTCTTGTTATTGTCTAGTTTTATCTCCTCCCTTCACATCTTTATTCTCATTCCCCAAATGAGTTCTGTGCTCCTGGAGCAGTCTTCCTCCCTCTTCTTACCTGTTAATGTCTACTCATCCTCATCTTGGGGGGCTTTCAGAAATGCTTTCCTCATCGCTCAAGATTTTGGTAAGCAAATACCTCCTTCTTTGTGTTTTTTTAGCGCTCCGTACCCTCTCTACCTAGTTCTGACATTACTGTTTTGTAATTTATTTTGTTGTCTGTCCCTCCTCTCGTATATTGTAAGCTCTACAGAATCAGTAAAGATGGTTTGCTCACCACTCTATACCTAGTGACTATCATAGTGCTTTGCATATAGGAGGCACTTAGAAAATAGTTGTTGAACAAGTAATTTTAGGTTTCAGAGAAAGAACATTTAACAGGCTATGTTAGAGAAATTATGACAAAGGAGTAGAATGAGTATCCAAAATGAAATAGATCATTGGAGTTAAGTATTTAGGGAATGGAGAGGGTCAATAAATAGTTCTCAATCTCTTTCTGTCTTTGCTCTAAATAAAAGATGATTAGTTTTCTTATAGCGCCTTTATTGAAATATAAATCACATACTCTACAGCTCACCTAAAGTGCAAAATTCTTAGGTTTTTAATATATTCATAGAATTGTACAACCATTGCCACAGTTAATTTTGAACTTTTTTAGGAGTGTGATTAGTTTTTTAGAAGCCTCTCATAATTTTTTAACATAAATTTTACCTTTAAAAAATTATTTATTTATTTAGTCACATTACATAACATGTGATGTTTCCCAACCAAGGATCAAACCCAGAACCCTGACCACTGGACTGCTGGAGAATTCTGCCCCAGATAATTTTTTTTTAACTTTGTCTTTTATGTAACTCCCTATGTAATTACATGAAATTGTAATTAAATTTAGTTGTGGTTTTTTTTTTTTTTGCCATGCCACACAGCTTGCATGATCTCAGTTCTCCAACCTGGGACTGAACCATAGCAGTGAAAGTCCAACATCCTAACTACATGGCCACCAGGGAAGTCCCTCCCAGATAATGTCCACCTAAGTAGACTTCTTTCCTTCTTCCAACCCACTCCTCATCTACTGAGAAATCACTGGGCTAAAAGTATGGCTGTGTCATTTTTATATCTATGGAATTACCCATTACTATTGAAGGATTTGGCATAAAAGAGTCAGAAGTGGTTGGATACTACTAGAAAGTCATTGTATATTAGGAAAGGAAAGGAGCTTGAGTGAAGCAGGGCTTAATCTTTCTCAAAAGACGGGGTGTTTATACTTGAAAGAGGAGTAATGATCTTGTAGCCTTTGTAAACTATCTCCACCTAAGGAACTAGCATTTATGCAGTGTGGGAGAAGCAACTTGTATCTGAAGAGGCTTCAGGGAACTGCTGTCTTTGGGAAGGAAGTGCGTCTACCATTGCTATTATCTGAGGGGGTCAGGAAAGTTCTCACTGATGATGTTTGAGACACAGGGCAATGTCTTTACTGTGGGACAAGGATAGGGGCACAGAGGAAATGTCTGAATGGGAGTAAGATTGTAGGAGGACATTAGCTAGTGGCACAGTTTTCACAAGAGTAAGTCCAAAGACTTAATTGATGGAGTGGCAGGTTGAGGGGCGAATTGGGTAGTTCCTGCTTGTTTGGAGTTAGCCAAGGCTTGGATTGGTAGAATGTTGGGTCAAAAGGCTGGCAAAAGTATTAGTTATTTTAAGAAGTAAATTGAGAACACTTAATAACCAGTTAGGGAAAAAGTCTTAAGGAAAAATGAGATCTGAAATAATTGGAGTTTCCAGCTCTGCCAGTGAATAACTTGGTGTTGCATTAATGGAGAAATGAGACACAGAGGATAAGAGAGAAGAGAAGGTTACAGCCTAGTGTTTGTACTCTGTTTTCAGCTAAAATAAACCTGCAAATAACTAGACTAAACCTCTTAACTCGTTCTGCAAAAGCATCTTCTCGTAGGAGAATGTTAGTAGGGGCAAAATAACATAAAATGAGGAGCTTTAGTTTTTGGTGTTACTAAAATCACTGTGATAAGTAATTATTGGACTGTGGATGTACTTAATGTACTTAATATATGAGAACTTTTAAAACTATTGATAGTGATAATTGCAACACAGAATGAGTTTGCTTTGTATTAAAAGCTAAATTTTATTTTTTAGTTTTGTACAAGGTTTCAAATCAATGTTTAAAGTTTTATTATGTATATTAAAATTTTTTGTAACCTACACATTGATACTTAATAGAAAAAATGGTGAGTACTTACTCAGAAGTATTGCTCGATATGTATTTGCTATAGGATTATTGAAAATTAAACATTTATTTTCTTTCCCTAGTCCAAACCCCTGATACCTCTTCAAAAAGAGACTGATTCAGAGACCCAGAAAATGGTGCTTACTAACTACATGTTCCCTCAGCAGCCAAGAACTGAGGATGGTAGGAATTTAAGAATCTCTTTTCTTTTAAAAAAAAAAAAAAACTAATACTGATAAAGTATAGCAAAGATGTGAATTGAATTTTAAGTCTCAGAGACTTTTTCTAGTTTGAAGAAAATATAGAGAATTGGTTAATGAAGTTCTCTGAAAATAAGAAAATAAGGCAGCATCTCAGAGTTATAGATAGTTGAATTTAGAGGTATGTCTATAGCATGTTTCCTTAAATGATTCCTTTGATTTTGTTAGATGCATTTTAGTGTGGGGAGACTTCAACAGAAAAGTATGAGATAAGTTTATAATATTCTGAGTCCTCTTAGAGTTCATATGTAAAGTATTTCACTATGGGTATTATGGGAGCACTATAACTAGTACACAGTACTGAATCAGAAACTACATTTGGTATGGTCAGGCAGCTGAATTTCTATTTAACTGCAAGAGAAACATCTTCCTTTATCACAGTGTCTGAGAAATAAATGAGTCAGAAAACATAATGTGCTTTAGGTGAAATTTTTAATACTTTGAGGGTAGACACTTCACATTTAATTCATTCTATTTTTATTACCACACATGTGCCAGGCATTGTTTTAGATCTAAGTATGTAAGATCTTTGCCCCACCCCTGGCTGCTTCTTGAGGCATGTGGGGTGTTTGTTCCCCAACCAGGTATTGGACCAATGTCCTGTGCGTTGCAAGCACAGAGTCTTTTAACGACTAGATTGCCAGGGAAGTCCCAGATCTAAGTATTTAAGATCTTAGATACTTACTTTCAAGAAGCTCATGATGTGAAAGGGGGATAATGATGGATAAATTTGAAAGAGAAGGTGTGGTATCTTGAGCCTAGTTAGAGGAATCAGTCTTAAACAGGAAAAAGGGGAAGAATGGATCCATATAACAATAAATTTATAACTGGAGAAAACAGGATATTGGGGAGCAGTATCAGTCTGAGGGTTTTTATTGTATTTACTTTCTCAGTGAAGTCAAAGAGAAAATTGCCTGTAAAGGTTGGGCGAAGGGCATTTGAGATAAGTGGTGGTGATTTTGTGTGGGAGAGCAGGCTGACTTGGAATGAATTCCTGAGCAGTGTTGAAGATGGAACAAAGAGTAGGGAGTACCATAAATTTGTAGTGGTTCCAAACCACAAGGTTATATCATTTTTCTCTGGTTGAATTCCAGGGCAAAGAAGGTAGGTGATTGAAATACCATGTTATAGGAAATATTGGGTAGGTATGACTTAAGGAAAGGGGGAAAAAAGATGAGAGTGGTAGAAATAATATGTCATGAAATCTAAGGTGAATAGAGAAGGGAGTAAAAGAATGCTTTTACAGGAAGAAAACGAAATGAGGTTAAGGAATTCAACATTTACCAGCAATAATAAATGAATTTGAAAGGACAAGTTGAGTGGTCAGGTATTACACAAGCTCAGGTCTTGAGGAGTACCATGATTTTGAATCACATGGGTGAGATACAGATGGACATTGAAATTGAGGACATCAAGAAATTATGAAATTGTATTGTTGGGGTAATCACACATTGTCATCATTCAGGATTTTGACAGGTCTTAGGTAGGTAGGCCTTGTCTGATAGCTCAGTTGGTAAAGAATCCGCCTGCAATGCAGGAGACCCTGGATTGATTCCTGGGTCAGGAAAATCTCTGGAGAAGGGATAGGCTACCCACTCCAGTATTCTTGGGCTTCCCTGGTGCTTTATTTGGTAAAGAATCTGCCTACAGTGTAGGAAACCTGGGTTCGATCCCTGGGTTGGGAAGATCTCCTGGAGAAGGTAAAGGCTACCCACTCCAGTATTCTGGCCTAGAGAATTCCATGGACTGTGTATAGTCCATGGGATCACAAAGAGTCGGACACAACTGAGCAAGTTTCACATATGACATATAGGTAGAGAGAAACATGCTAGGCAAATGCTAGAATCCCGAATGCATATGCCATTGTGATCAGATCTAGTGGCCTCTAAAATGCAGAAAAAGTAATATTACTACCTAATGCCCTCAATCTCAAAAGATGTGAGATTTACAGTAAAGGGTAGAAAGTATAGGTGGCCAGAAGTTGACAGGAGTGAGAGGAATGGTTAAAGTTATTTTCCTTGGGGTTCTGAAAAAATTCTGATGTAATAGTGCTTTGATAAAATCTAAAACTCTTAGAGATCTTTGGACTAGGCTGATGATTGGTAGTCTTAACCCTTATCCCCACCTCTAGTACATAATGAACAGTATTGGAATTAGGAAGACTAGTTCTGAATGCCAAACCTTGAATGAAATATTTATATAATTACCATGTTACTTTTTGTAGGGAATTGCACAAAGTCACACATCTGTAGTGTTTTATTAGATTCTCTTCAAGAATCCTTCTGGTAACAAAACAATCCTAAGATGGGAGGGGAAATCCTCTCTCTCAATCCTGGAAGTAGACTTCGTTGGAAATACTTGCCTTTCCAAGTATACCACAAAAAGTATGTCAGTAAGGTACCCCAGGAATTTGAACCTTGTTGCACAAACAAACACTGTAATTCATTTAATATTAAGCAACAACACAAAGCAAGTAAAAAATTTTGAACTGAGTAATTAAAGAAAAAGGTAAATAAAGCTTTATTCCTTTTGTTAGTATTTAGTTTCATGGTATTCTTCCTGTGGATATGAGCTTAAAGAAGGGTAAGAAGCCAAAAAGAAGGACTAAAAATAAATGATAATTATGCTGGTTTTGTGGAAATAATCAAGCTGACTGTATTTGGGTATTCAGTTTTTCTATTAGCTAAAAAGGTGCTTTTAATCTCTTTTGTTGTTTTCTTTTAATGGGCAGAAAATAAGTTGTCATTTTTTTTTTTTAATTGTACGAACTTCTGTAAGGTGATATATAATAGTCAAATGGATTAATTTTTTAAGCCTTACCTTTTGTTTTGGTTACCTATTAGGAAGCAAAAAACTTTGACAGCTGTTAAGTCTTTAATATTGTATCAGATAGCAGGATATGTAAGTGTTGAGTTTGTTAAATTTTAAATTTTCCTCAGTTTTGATATAAAGAATATCTTGCAATCACTTTGTTTACATAGTCAAACTATGTATAATGTTTAATGCAAGTAGGGGCCATCAGGGTAGTCATTTTTTACCAAAATATTTCCTTTTTTCTGTGTTAACTCTCCTCCTCTAGTACATAATAAACAATATTGGAATTAAGATTTCTGAATGCCAAAACTTGGATGAAATGATTGCATGAAATAACACTGTAGTACCGTGTTATTTTTTGTAGGGAACTACACACAATTACGTATCTATAGTGTCTTAATTATATTGTACTCTCTTAAGGAATCTTTCTCATTAAGAAACAAGACAAATCAGCTTTAAGAAAGAAAAGATATGTGATTACTATTGTGAAGAAATGTTAGAAATACAGCCTAGTTGTTAGTGTAGCATTTATAGCTGCTGACATTGACCAGTCTTAATTTATTGTAATGAACATCTCATAAAATTATGAGCAAGTAATAGTTTTTCATACTTATAGTAAACTATAGTGGGGCTTTGTTTTTGTTTTTCTCTAGTTATGTTTATATCAGATAATGAAAGTTTTAACCCTTCGTTGTGGGAGGAACAGAGGAAACAGCGAGCGCAAGTGGCCTTTGAGTGCGACGAAGACAAAGATGAGAGGGAGGCGCCTCCCAGAGTGAGTCTCTTCTGCTTTCCTTCAAATTTTAAACCAGTCTCCTGATATTTATTGGGTGCATGTATGCTAAATCGCTTCAGTCATGTCTGACTCTTTGCCACTGTGTGAACCATAAGCCTGCCAGGCTCCTCTGTCCATGGGATTCTCCAGGCAAGAATACTGGAGTGGGTTGCCGTGTCCTCCTCCAGGGGATCCTCTCAACCCTGTGCCTCTGTCTCCTGCATTGGCAGGCGGGTTCTTTACCACTAGCACCACCTGGGAAGCCTGCATTTATTAGGTACTATATAGCTCATCTGTGCTATTTTTGGGATACAAAGAAGTATTGTTTCATTCCTTACCCTCAAGGCACTTGAAATTTTATTGATCCAGTACATTTATGATGTGCCAGTATTTGAGAACAATATAAAATTGTGTGAATAAAAACCAAATTTCATCGTGTACATAAATATAAGAGAAAAACAGATTATTGTTTCCCCTTTCCTTTCTTTAATAATTTATTTGTATATTAAAGGGATGAACAACTCTTTGAGGTGAACATTTTGTTTCTTTATGAGACTGTGTTGTAGTAATAGAAGTAGCAAATACACATTTCCAAGTTAGTTATGGATGTGATTATTTTTTCCTTGTATAATAAAGCTGGCTGAATTCTAGAAAATGATGATTAGGCTGATCTTAGAGGTGTTTGGTTTCTGGCACATAAGTCATCATAATGTGGGAATTTTATGTCTGTTTGCATAATTATCTAGCTGGAAAACATGTATCTGTTTCAAAGCCAAGTGACAGGGTTGGCAATATCCATACCATATATCTCCAAATGGAATATATTTAAGTCTACTAAAAAAAGCTTTTAAAACATTGAAATCTGTAGCTGTGAAGTTTTTTTTTTACTATCAATAAAACCATACATTTATTGATCTAAAATGCTTTCAAAGGCCTATCATCTGTCTTCACAGTTACCTTATGAGCTACGTATGTAGTATAATTAAGATGGACTATTTATTAAATTTTGAGATTGATGTTAGAAATATTTATCTGTAGATAACTAATAAGAACCTTCTGTATAGCAGAGGGACCTCTACTCAATACTCTGTAATGGCCAATATGGAAAATCTAAAAAAGAGTACATCTATGTATAGGTTTAACTGATTCAGTTTGCCCTACAACAGAAAATAACACAACACTATAAATCAACTATACTCTAATAAAATTTTTTTAAAAAAGAAATATCTGTAGTTTGAATTGTGAGATAATTTAAAATTATCTCTTATTTTATTTCTCTAGGAGGGAAATTTGAAGAGATATCCAACACCATACCCAGATGAGCTTAAGAATATGGTCAAAACTGTTCAAACCATTGTACATAGATTAAAAGATGAAGAGACTAATGAAGACTCTGGAAAAGATTTGAAACCACATGAAGATCAGCAAGTTGTAAATAATGATGTGGGTGTGAAGGTTAGAAAGCTCAATTTAAAACATTGACTAAAGTCTATTTTCAGTTCTTTAAAATTTTTAAATGATAATTGATATGATGATCCTTTTTACATACACCAAAATACACTCCCAGACTTGGGGAGTATTCTCAGACTGTTGTTGTTCAGTCATCTCTGACTCTTTACAACCCCATGGATGGCAGCATGCCAGGCTTCCGTGTCCTTCACTATCTCCCAGAGTTTGCTCAGACTCAGGTCCATTGAGTCAGTGATGCCATCTAACCATCTCCTCCTCTGCTGCCCCCATCTCCTCCTACCCTCAATCTTTCCCAGCATCAGTGTCTTTTCCAGTGAGTCAGATCTTCACATCAGGTGACCAGAGTCCTCAGATACCTGAACTAAAAGCTGTCATAGTGAGCAAACTGAAATGCTATTATTACCACTTCAGTTGTGGTTACAGACTGTCCAGATGGGCAGGAGAGTGTCAGCATAGCTTTTGAACTAACATTGCCTGAACAAAGAATAAGATAATGAGTGTCAGAAAGTTCGTGGTTATAGAAATACTTTTTCCCCTGGTAATATTGATCCATTCTACCCAGTTTTAATTTTAAATGTAATTACTGTGACAGATCATAGACGTTTCCCTAGGATGTTTCCGAAACCTACACAAATCCCTAAATTGTGTGTTCCTTTAATGAACTTTCCCCTCTGCACCTGTATCACAGAAACAGAAGTTTTTTCCTGTCACTGAAGTTACTATACATTCCACAATGAGCAGGAGAAAAATCGAGCCTTCCTGAGTTTGCATATGCCAAGTGACTCACTCATAAATACCAGCTTTGCACCTTCTAGGATGAAACAGAACCTTAGCTAAATTGTAAAGTTTAATGTGGCTCATGGACCTTTGTGATTGCCTGTTCCCACAGTGAGCATTTTCTCTCTCAGTGCTATAGATTTCCATGTTTAAAACTTCTTCAGTTTACCCATAATAGGAAGATACTTTTAAATTTTCATCTGAACTTTGATACAGTAATAGGTGTAAAGAATGTGAGTTCTTTATCTTTTCTTTTGCTTAGACTTCTGAAAGTACCACTCCAGTAAGAAGCAAAGCTGATGAAAGAGAAAAGTATATGATAGGAAACTCAATACAGAAGACCAATGAGCCTGAAGCTGAGGTCAGTTCTGGAAATCTGCCAGTGACTGCAAATGTGAAAGCCTCTGAGAACTTGAAGCATATTGTTAATCATGATGATGTTTTTGAGGTATGGCTTTATGATTATTCTGGAGTAATGTTAAATGATAAGAATTTAACATTTCATTGTTGCTCACTAGAGGTAGGGGAAGCCTGATACCAATAGCAGAAAATATGCTAATACAGTTTTGCTATTGAGAAATTTCATAATATTTGTTTTACCACTCATTTATCACTTAAGCTTCAACATTGGAGTACAGAGGTTATAAAAATTTTTACTATTTAAATTAGGTTGTGGCAGTTCTAATTCTGTAAAATTTATAATAGCAGTTGCTTTAATCTCAGTAACTTAAAAATGAGAAAGTTGCTGTTGGTTTACCAAATAATAAGTCAGTTATTTGACTTATTTAGGCATTTATCATTGATTGTAAAGTTTTTTTTTCCTTGAATATGAGACTTTTTAAAGAGATTTTCCCCTTGGATCAATAAAGGCTTTTTTTTAAAAAGCAGTTTTACTGAGGTATAATATACTGTACAACTCACCTATTTAAATAAAAGGTGCAGTTCATTGGCTTTTAGTGTACTAAAAGTTGTGCACCCCTCACCACAAACACTTTTAGAACATTTTTATTACCCTAAAAGAAAGCCCGTACTTCTTAGTTGTCTCCCTACAACTTCTGTATCCTCCCTCCCAGTCCTGAGCAACTGGTGGTCTTCGGCCTCTAGATTTGGCTGTTCTTGGCATTTCATATAAATAATCACACAGTATGTGGTCTTTGTAACTGTTTCTTTCATTTAACATGATGTCATCAAGATTATTCATATTGTAGCACGTATCAGTACTTCATCCATTTTTTTTTAATGTCTGTATATTTCATTGTCATCGTCCATTATGAACATTTGAGTTATTTCCACATTTTGTCTCTAATGATGAGTGAGTTTCCTTTGAATATTTGTATAGAAGTTTTTGTGTGAATATATATTTTCTTTCCTCTTGGGTATAGCTTATACCCAAGAGAAAAGAAAATACATCCTCTTTCCTCTAGAGTTGAATTGCTAGATGTGTGGTAACTCTGTTTAACTGTTTGAGAAACTGCCAGTTTTCCAAAAGTGATTGTACCATTCTACATTCCCCTCATGCACTGCTGGAGGAATTAAGTTTTATAGCAATTTAGGAAGAGGTTTTTTCTGGCTATGAAGAACCACAGATGCTTTAAAATGAAGGAATTGTTTAACTTGTATTTTGAAGTATTGCAGTTAACAGAAATAGGAAAATTGAATGAAATGTGAAAAGAATAATGAGAGCAAAAGAACAGCCTTTAGAAAATGTAGGAAAGAGCATTGGTCAGACCATCAGACCAAATATATCAGAGGATATAAAATTAGTAGAGTAGATTGTTTCCTGATAGCTATGCTGAGAAGTCTGGACTTAATGTTCTATACTATAGTCTTTGGGGAGCCACTGAACATTTTTTAGCAGAATTATCTACATTAAACATAATCATTGTAACTTCCCTGGTGGCCCAGTGTTAAGACTCCATGCTTCCAGTGCAAGGGACACAGGTTTGCTCATTGGTTGGGGAACTAAGATCCCACATGCTGTGGGGCATGGTCAAAATAAATAAATAAAAAGTTTTAACTAAGAAAATAAGCATAATCATTGGAAAAAATTCAGTAGCTGGGGGAAAGAGTAAGAAAGGAAAGAATATGAGCAAACTGTAGGAAGATTAATTGACATGAGCAAAGGAAACAGAAAGGTGGTAGGAGATTTAGGAGACTATAGTTCACAGAAGCCCAGGTATAATATAATTTCATGAAGAAGAAGCTCTGGTCAGCAGTTTAAATGCTGCAGATATCAAAAGGCTGAGACAGACCTCCTTGACCTGTTACCTCATTCTTTGTATTCATTTACCAGTCAAGTTCTGTTAATGGTAATAAAATTTCTGTCCAGTTCTTTTTTTTTCTGTACTAGCTATTACTGCCATTGCAAGACAAATGTAGTCTTTTTTTGTTCAGGACTATTGCTATACCTAGTTTTCTTTCTGTTAGTCTCTCTTTCCATAAACCTTTAATACCAGAGTTACTATTTTATTTTATTTTTATTTATTTTTTTCAGAGTTACTATTTTAAAAGATAATCTGCCTTGTGAGTTTCTAGCTTGGCAACTTTCAGTAATGAAAGCATGTACTTAGTTGAGTTCATACTCAGAGCATAACCTTTTACTATGCAATCCAGTCTGCCTTTTCTGTCTCTCCTGCCCTTTTTTCTAAATTTCAGCTTCATGGAGCTGACTTGCCATACATTTTCTTATTTCCATGTTTTCCTCTACTCAGAATGGTATTTACCTCTTAACTTACCCTTGAAGACTAAACCCAATTTACATTTCTCTTCCTTAACTACTTAACAGTCTAACTCCATTGTAGTACAGTCTGGAACAGGGTTGGCAGATGATGGCCTGTTGTCCCAAGCTGGCCCACTGCCTGTTTTTATATGGCTTGCAAGCTAAGAACAGCTTTACATTATTGAACATTGAATAAAGGTCAAAAGAAAAAGCATATTTTGTGAAATATGAAAAATTAGATGACATTTAGTTTCACTGGCACACAGCCATGGTAATTGGCTTACATATTGTCTATGACTACTTTTATGCCACAGCAGCAGAATTGGTTGGTTGAAACAGAATGTGTGGCTTGCACAGTATAAAATATTTACTCTCTGGCCTTTTTATTGAAATAGTTTTCTGATTTCAGTTCATATTTTGTTGTGACACTTAAAGCACTTAGAAATCTTAGTATTTTTAATAGAATACTGTTTTAAGACCTTTTATTTATTTTCATTATATTATCTAAAAATAAACTGCAGAAGATCTGATTTTATGTCTATTATATGCAATGTTAAAATCTTTCTATTAATACTTGTTGACAAGAGTCTCTTTGTGTGTGCTAACAGCACTCAATGGTAAATTGCCTGGGACAGTTGCCAAATATCAGAGAAAAAATCATGGAGAGTAATAAAAGATTCTGTCTTCAAATTGGGCAGAAATTGCCATTAATTTATCTTGGTGGAAGAGCATTTCAGTCCTTCTGATCCTTGGAACCCGGTGATCCTTGAAGGAATAAATTTAAGAATTAGGAATAGACTTTTTGTTAGAGCATCTTCACTAAACTGAGTTTTTCACCAGCAGGGATTGTTTTACTCATTTTTGTTTCTCTGACACTTGATACAGTACCAGGTACATACTAATCATTAATACAGTTGAATTAAGGACCACACAGAAAATTATACCTTAGACACTTTGGTGTAGTGTTAATAATTTCCATAGTTTTATTGCCAATGCCTTGAAAAATTTAAGTCACCTACTAGTTTTATTTAGTTACCGTAAAAAGGTTTTATGCCTGTGTCATGTATTTTCTCTTTGAAGTTCATATAACTTAATATTTATTCATTTAAAGAAACCAAATTTTATTTTTGTGAATATTTTTCTCTTTTTTCTTTAAATTAGGAATCTGAAGAACTTTCTTCTGATGAAGAGATGAAAATGGCAGAGATGCGACCACCATTAATTGAAACCTCTATTAACCAGCCCAAAGTTGTAGCACTTAGTAGTAACAAAAAAGGTTAGATGTCGAAAGAAAGCTCGCTAAGAACAGAAATGGACTGAATAAAATTTATAAATTTCTTTTTCAAATAAATTTCACTAAATGTTACTATGTTATTTAAAATACTTTTCAGAAGCAATTTTTCAAACATGTCTTCGTAAAGGGTCTATTCCTTATCTCTTGTTTTTAAAGAAAATCTTGATGAATCTCTTCCTTCATTCATGCAAGTTTACTTACAGGACATGGATTTTTTAAGGCAGATAAGCCTAGATTATGATTCCATCTCTACCACTTATTTGCTGTATGATCTTTGAGCTCCTTAATTTTGTCCATGTGTATACATCTAACTGGGCTTTCCAGATGGTGCTAGTGGTTAAGAACCCACCTGCCAATGCAGGAGACATAAGAGATGTGGATTTGATCCCTGGGTTAGGAAGATCCTCTAGAGGAGGACACAGCAACCCACTCCAGTATTTTTGTCTGGGGAATCCCATGGACAGTGGAGCCTAGCGGGCTACAGCCCATAGGGCTGCAAAGAGTCAGACATGACTGAAGTGATTTAGCACGCATACATCTAACTAGACATACAATGAAGCTAAGGAAAGATTTTGAGAATTTCAAATATATTGGTTTAGTGTACTCAGATCTAGGATAGTACCTTATGTATAACAGATGATTGTTGTTATTTTATCTGTTAAGGAACTTTTTTTTTAACATACCCCGTCACCCCCACCTAACATAGAATCTCAGACTCTTAGAAATGAAAGACAACTTGGAGAGTAGCTATCCCTTCCTTTTATCCTTTCCTCACTCTTCCCCACCAAATGTCTGAAAATGTCTACATTATCTCCACCAAAGATTTATCCAGCTTGTACCTTTATGGCATTGATGAAACTTATTGGCAAGGTGGCCCTTTAAAGGATAGCTTGGGGTTTCATAATAATGGTACTGATATTTGTTACTAATTGTTACTTACTATGCTAAATAGTTTACATATTATTATCTAATTGTCACAGTTACCCCATGAGAAGGAAGTTGGAGAATATAGAGAACTTAAGTGCCTTGTAGTTTAACATGTCTTAAAAATTCAGATTCTCAGACCCAAACACCTTAAAGCAGAATTTACAGAGCCCCATGTGCTACCATGCCTGTAGGGTTGTGAACATACTAAGTTATTATCTTTTTATCACTACTTTTAAAAAATGGTACTTTTTATTACTACCTGCCTATAGTGGAATATAAATATTAGCTATTTGTTTATATAGCCATCTCACATATTGAGAGTTCACTATTCATATATAGTTCTTTGAAATGATATTAGAAAGGGGAAAGCTGACCTTGTGAAAATTTCTGGATTTGTTTGGTGTTTCTTTTTTGGTTGACTATGCTGCTCATTTTTATTATCAGAATAGGTGAAAACAATTCCATACACATGTGAAATCATTTATACCCCAGATAATAAATTTATTGAGGTTATGAACTATAGTATGTATTTCTTACTGTTACAACTTTTTAAAAGTAAATTCATGGAAAAGTATATTCACTAAAATGGCCTTAAAAACATGTGATAACATTTGTGTCAGTAGTTTAAATCAGATTCTGGGTAACTCTATTGTTGTTCATATTAAAAAAATATATAGGTATCACTAAAAACTAACTGAAGGTATCACTATTTTTAAATTCTTGAATCTTTGTATGTATTAGGACTGAATTTTCTGAGGTGAACCTCTGGTTATCTTCTATCCAAATAATTCCTTATCTCATATATTGAACCAAGATAATATAAATGCCATTTGTCATTACTGGAAATTCTGTGCAGCTTTATCAGTAGCTTAATTTTTTTTCTTACAGATGATACAAAGGATACGGATTCTTTATTAGATGAAGTTACACACAATAGCAATCAGAATAACAGCAACTGTTCTTCTCCATCTCGGATGTCTGATTCAGTTTCTCTTAATACTGACAGCAGTCAAGATACCTCACTCTGCTCCCCAGTGAAACAAACTCATATTGGTGTTAATTCCAAAATCAGGTTTGTGACCATCTTAATGAGATAATTTATTTGTACAATACATAGAGATGGCAAGGCAAATAAATATATACTATTTATAGTACATTATTAAATATATATTATTAAAACATAAAAGACTTTGCAAATTAATATTATAGAAGTGGTTCAGACAATATATAATTTCTTCCCCAGTTTATTTACTAATTATAATTACTTAGCTTTTATACATTTCCCTGGATTGGGAAGATCCGCAGGTGGAGGGCATGGCAACCCACTTGAGTATTCTTGCCTGGAGATTCTCCATGAATGGAGGAGCCTGGCGGCCTACAGTCCATGAGGTCGCAGAGAGTCGAACAAGACTGAGTGACTCAGCACAGCACAGCACATACATTTTCACCTTAGTCTTTTAAATGAAAAGGCTTAAAATATATTCTAATTCTCTTCTTTAAAAGGTTGAACAGTTTTATAATGTTTTTTAATATAGCCTGTTTAGAATAATTCAAGTTAAAGGGTTATGCTTGATAGAAGGATTTGGATTACTGCTGAATCCAGAGCTTATTGTATGGATATTGTTAACTGATTTTTAGAGTTATATAGTACTTAAATTCTGGGTATATTTAGGTCAAATTTTTCTATATATTGATTTGCATTAAAAGGAAGATGAATCTTATGTCTCACATTGAGTTTTAACTCTTATGTAGTTGTATTTAAGATTAATCACTTATACCGTTTGAATTTGAGGCTAAAATCTAGTGTGGTAAAATATTACTTTTGTAACCTCTTGGATGTTAAAATAATGGTTAATTTGTTGAAAAGTAAAATTTGATATAGTTGGCAAGTAGTTCAGCATTTTCTAAATCATGTGTTTTGTAATGAAATAAAGGCTAAGAAAGGGATATAGTCATACCTTCTTTGGTTGTAATTCTAATAGTATTTTCTGTTATCTAATCAGAAGATCAATATTAAAAAAATATTTGTTGAAATGTAACTTGCATATGTACACAAAAGAACACAAATATGTTTTCATATTATCAAATAGAAATTAAATATCTTCTATAATTTTGGAGTGGCATGTTTTATAAATATTTGCCAAACAATGAAGTCACTTATGAGAGTAATTAGATTTAGATTCTCTTTTGATCCTCATACTTTGTAGATCTCTGAGTGATTGTTTAGTTTTTTGTATAATTTCCTCATATATATTTGAATCTAATAATACCTACTTAATATAATTAATCAATACTGTGAGGTTTTGAATTATTCATAAAAATATTCTGTTCTCTTACTCAGCTATTCAACTTTTGACCTTATCTCCATGTATGTGCCTATCTTTCAAGCATTTCATATTTTAGAACATTCATGAAAAGGTGAAGCAGTAGAAGAGAATTATTTCATTACAAAATATGCATATTTTTCTTCATTGTTTAGCTCTACTAAACTACTGTGATATAGTGATTATGATAGTGGCAGTGATCTTATCTGTGCTTTTTGATTAGTATGTTTTACTTGTCTCTATTTAATATAAATCTCTATTATTTGACTGTTACAATAATATTTTAAACTTACATGCTTGATACTAAATGTCTTTTATCTGTGACTCCCATCGACATTCTTATCTGTGTGTATCTACACAGTAGCTAGTTGTTAATGGTCCCCATTAACTGGGCTTTATGATCTTTGTGATAAAATTATCTTTCTTTTAGGCAAGAAGATGAAAATTTTAACAGTCTTTTACAAAATGGAGATATTTTAAATCATTCAACAGAGGAAAAAATCAAGGTTCCTGATAAAAAAGATTTTAACTTACCTGAGTATGATTTGAATATTGAAGAGAGGTTAGTTCTTATTGAAAAAGGTGTTGACTCAACAGCCACATCTGATGAATCTCACAAATTAGACCATATCAATATGAATCTAAATAAATTTGTAACTAATGATACATTTCAACCAGAGATAGTGGAAAGATCAAAGACACAAGATACAGTGCTTGGAATGGGCTTTTTAAGCAATAATGCTAAAGGAGAAGCTGAGCACTTGGAAAACGGAAACAAGTTTCCTAATGTTGAATGCATAAATAAGGTAAATGGACATTCTGAGGAAACTCCCCAATCTCCTACGAGGACCGAACCACATGACACTGATTCTTCTGTTGATGTGGGTCATTCCAAAAGCACTGAAGATCTCTCCCCTCAGAAAAGTGGGCCAATTGGATCTGTTGTGAAATCTCATAGCATAACTAATATGGAAACTGGAGGGCTAAAAATCTATGACATTCTGAGTGATAATGGACCTCAGCAGCCAAGTGCCACAGCTAAAGTAACATCTACTATTGATGGAAAAAATATAGTCAGGAGCAAGTCAGCTACGCTTTTATATGATCAACCATTGCAAGTATTTACTGGTTCTTCTTCATCTTCTGATTTAATATCGGGTGCAAAGGCAATTTTCAAGTTTGATTCAAATCATAATCCTGAAGAACCAAATATAATAAGAGGTCCCACAAGCGGCCCACAGTCTATGCCTCAGATATATGGTCCTCCACAGTATAATATTCAGTACAGTAGCAGTGCTGCAGTCAAGGACACTTTGTGGCACTCCAAACAAAATCCCCAAGTAGATCCTGTCAATTTTCCCTCACAGCGCTTTCCTAGATCAGAGAGTACAGAAAGTCACAGTTATGCTAAACATTCTGCCAATATGAATTTCTCTAATCATAACAATGTTCGAGCTAATGCTGGGTATCATTTACACCAGAGACTTGGTCCAGGAAGACATGGGGACATGTGGGCCATCTCACCAAATGACCGACTCATTCCTGGAGCAACTCGAACTACAATTCAGCGACAGAGTAGTGTGTCCTCAACAGCCTCTGTAAATCTTGGTGATCCGGGTCCCACGAGGCGGACCCAGGCTCCTGAAGGAGATTATTTGTCATACAGAGAGTTGCATTCAGTGGGACGAACTCCTCCAGTGATGTCAGGAGCACAGAGACCTCTTTCCGCACGCACCTACAGCGTTGATGGCCCAAATGCCTCAAGGCCTCAGAGTGCTCGCCCCTCCGCTAGTGAGATACCAGAGAGAACTATGTCAGTCAGTGACTTCAGCTATTCACGGACTAGCCCTTCAAAAAGACCGAGTACAAGGGTTGGTTCTGAGCACTCGCTATTAGATCCGCCAGGAAAAAGTAAAGTTCCTCATGATTGGCGAGAACAAGTACTACGACACATTGAGGCCAAAAAATTAGAAAAGGTAATTAAACATCAATTTTTCATTTGCCTCTTTATGAATTTACTAATTTTCCTTTAAAATTTTTGGTATGCTTTGTTTTTTAAACAAGATGAAATAAGATACTCTGAATTATTGAATACATACTTATTATATTCTAGAAGTTTTTCCTTGGTAGTGAGATTAGAGGTCCAAGTTGAGACTTACCCAGAATCAAAACAGTTGTGATAGTGATAGGAACTTCTTTCCTGTTACTCTTTAAAGTTTTCTGATGGGCTTACATTCATTTGTGTTTCTTAGATTGTGCCACACATACTACACATAATACATGGATCTACATGTTTACCTCTGTTCAGTATTTTCTGACCTCCTGCTCATCTATTAATAATTAATTATGTAAATATGTGTATAAAAACAACAGTTTACTATATAGTTAACAGAATAACAAGAAATGTATTGTAAATGTATATCTTTCACCTAAGATTTTTTTTCCCAGTTCATGTTGTATAACTAACACTCTCACTGACTCAGATGGCTTCTGGCATGGCATTTACTATCGACTCTCCTATATTGCATTTCTGCCCTATTTGAACTCAGATGTCTGTGGCTCTAATATAGTTAGAAGATTGTTGTTAAGTAACTTAAGCTCATATGGATGAGCTTTTATAACTTTATATGTAGATGTTACTTTTTTGAAAAGAGATAAATGTTTTTAAAAAATTAACCTTAAAACTGATATATTAGGACAGTTCTGTGGCCCAAATATATAAGGCATACTCATTCTGCAAGATTCAGCTTCCTGTCTCTCAGCGTATTTTACCCAAGAATTATTTCAGCTTTGTTTATTGATATAAGATATTTTTAAAAGGAGCTAAGTGTATACAACCTCAATAAATTCTTTAAGTCAAAATGTTTGGAAATCAATGCCTAAAATAAGGATCAATACCTTATATCAATTTACATTGAACCTTTGTAGTAATTAGCTCTTTTAAATTCTGTAGCTTTAAATAGCTGAGCATCTGTAGCATTAGGCAACTTCATTGTAATATATCCATTTTGTTTCAGCTGTAATTCTGTACATTCTGTTGAGGCTCTTGAATTTGTGTACTTTATCTGAGGAATTTGGAAGTTTCTTAAGTAAAGGAGTAACATAGCTGTTTTATAAATAAACTTCTGGTGATGGTGTGGAACTGGATTTGAGGAGGAAGAAGCTATAGCTATAGTTACAGTTAAGTTGATTGAGTTATGAGACTGTCTGACAGTCCTGAGAATAAATAGAATGAGAAATGTATCAGTGGACTTGAGACAAAAGAGCAAATTCAAGAGGCAGTTCTGAGATAGACTTTTAAGGGTTTACTCTGAAGGGACTATTCCTGTAATCATTCATTGAGGAAAATGGATTAAACTTGAGGTTGGTACCTTGAATAATTGTTTTTTGGGGAATGCCCAAAAAACTAGATACTGATGAGGAATAGCAGATTTGGAGGATGAGATGAGTTTGGTTACCTCGATGTTATTAGTTGACATCTCAGATGGCTGTTCTCCACCACTTTCCTGTTGGTCAGAGATTTTCCTGGACTTTAGTAATTATGAAGCAAAGATTAGCCATCTCGTTGTTCCTTGCACTTTTCTGCTTTTTATGTTTAGAATTTAATGTATGATGGCTTGGAGAATACATGGCAGTAGTTTCCCAGTTGTGCCCACTGGTAATTTAGAGATGAGAATTGACTCATTGAAATTAGGAAAAAGCTTTAGAGGACACAGGGCAATGTAATTTAGACCCCAGACTTGAAAGCATTGGCTGAAAATGGTGGAGGGTGATGGGAAATTTCTATTTGTTCCTCTACATCTCCCCCTCTTCTTTAAACATAATTCTAATGGCATGGTGAGCATTTGAAAAATTTCCTCAGGGGAGTTCACAACGCCTGCCTGACCTCTAGAGGAAAAGGTGCTGCTCTGCCCAGCTGGGAGTTTAATAGTAAAACAGAAAGCGATTAGTTATTAAAGCTTACTTGGCTTTTTTAAGTAGTAACCCCTCCTTCCCAACTTCCCCAACAAACTGTACCTGGAACACAAACAAGAAAATAGATCTCACCTCAGAAATCTCAAGACTGACTCAATTAAACTTATCAACAGATATTGCAAAGGAATAAAAATTTGTAAAGTTATTCCTAATGTCAACATTTGCCAGTATTCCTTATTATATTAAAAACTGATAAGAAGCACTCCATATGATTAACACAATATGATAATTTCCATTTTCACTTGCTGTTATACAACTATTAGCATGTAGTGAACAATGTCCAGGACACATGTTCAGCACTTAATTGAACTTTGCACAGTGTGTTGATATGTTTTGATAGGGTACAGTTTTACGTGGCTGTATCTGTACAGGCCTAAATTCAAAGTCAGACCTATTCTGGACTTTAGCCTTCTTACTCAGTGAGATATTTACGAAAACCTCATATATGTTCAAAGATGACAGCAAAGACTTTGTTCCAAGATATTATTAAAAAGAATCAATCAGACCACTCAAGTTAACATGTAAAACTGTGTTATAATGCATGAATGTGTGTTTTTTATATGTTTCTGTGTGTGATTATGTGTATAATTTATTTTTACTTTCTAATCACATGTTTGGGGAACCTATGAATTGCTTCTGCCAGATCCTTATTCTTTGTGAAATGCTTTGAGAAAGTACTGAGCCTGGCCTATTCAGCTTTTTCCTTGATCTTTACTTTAGAATTCACAAAATAACTAAATTTGTTCATTGTAGTTTTATAGATTCCTTTCTTTTTGAAATGTTATATTGTTTCTTTGTATAAGAGATCAACTTCATATCTGAAGAAAGTAAGTACTTCCTAAGAGTAATACAGAAATGCTTATTATGGCCATAACAAGCATTTGTGTATTTCTTACTAAGAAGCCATGTTCAAAATGAGGTTTCTCTTGGTTTGACCATCAGACCTTCAGTGTTCAGGGACATGACTAAAAGCATCCACATGTGAAAGGACAATAGTGAACTCCGGGAATAACCAAGCAAGAACAGGGAGAATCAGGCAGTGCTTTTTTGAAGTACATTGCTCAGGCAACTCTGAGATTGGCGATTAGGCATTTATGTAAACTCAGTCATGGAAGGCGTCTATCAGTGAAACTTGAAGGCTTCTTCAAGGTTAAACAGCAGACCCACTACTGACTTCTAAAAATACAATTACTTTTAATATCTATTTGAATGAGAAAAGAGTTTTCATGTACATTTTCTAGATTTATTGGGTTTTTTCCCCTGATAATTGCAGAGCAGTAGGAGCCTTTTAAATATTATACCCTAAAAGTCTTTGTTTGTGTTAAACTTTTCTTTAAGACATTTTTTAAGTGTGAAAGGTAATTTTTATTAGAAATTATAAGAGCCAAGTATTTCTTTGCAAATACATTTTGTGCTATATTATGTATGTTTAAAATCTCCATTTACTTAATAAGACAATTCATTTCTATAGAATGAAGCATTCTTTCTAGAAAACCATTTTGACTTAAAAATAACTGAGTGTTGGTGAAGTTTGCCTTTACAAAGAAATTAGTTTGTATTCTGTGTGTAACCATATACATACAAATACTTCTGGATGTGACATCAATTCCTATTTTCTGATGAACTTCTAATAAGATAGGTTAGGAGTAAAACATAATAGCCTAAGAGCAGCTGTATGTTTGCACTTTCTTTTTTTGGTGTTTAAACATGTAAATGGTTGGGTTTACATATAATTTATGTGTGTATACATATATGTTTTCATGTAAATATATGGTAAATAGTGCCAATATCTTTCATTGTCTCTGAAAATTCAGTGTTGCATGGTATTCCTGCATAATCTGGGGGTTACTTGTATATATGTCTTATGTGTATAACGTGTCTTGTGAATTTTGCATGCTACACTAATCTCTGTTAAATCTATCCCCTCTTTATTCAGAGCATGCTGTCAAGGTCCTTTAATTCCAATTTTACTGCTGTAAGCAACTTTCAGTATGGCAGCTCTAGGGATCTGCATGGCAGCCAGGGCAGTCTGGCCTTGAGTGTTGCAGACGGAAGAGGTTCTGGTGGGCACACTTTTCGAGTGAGTACCTGCAGTAGATCAGTACTTCAGTGCATAGATGAGAAAGAAGCCCGCATTTCATGTTACCCAAATGTTACTGACCAGAGTGCTTGAATATCCACTTACATAACAAATCACCTGCCACAGGCCTCAGCTTCTGCAAAAATCCCTGGGTCAATAATGTGTTAACAGTTCTAGAAAATAAATCTGTTCTGTGGGTTAAATACCTTGATTACCTCCCAGTTCTTGCATGGCTTAGTTGTAAGGCTCTGCAAAGCTGATTTAGACTTTACCTCTTAAGTTTCTGTGGTCATAACTTAAAGGTGTAGTCAGCTCTTATTTATGTAAAAAGGGGTGAGCAATAGGAGTTGAAGAGATTTTTTAAAAATTCTTTTTCTTTGCAGTGCTCTCTCTTAAAATTAGCTTCCTTCCCCTAACTCAGAGTGTTAATGCTGTGCCATGCATAATACATAGAGGGGTTGTAGGAAAGAAGAATTTTCACTTTAGTGACTGAGAGTTGGCAAATAAATACCTGGAATTCAGTTTAATAATAATTTGCAGAATATGATTAAATGTGAGGCTGGAGAAATTGCAATAAGTACCAGTGAAAAGGCAAAACCCAAATCCGTTAACACCCACCTAATCATTTGTGGGAAGAAGGAAGGTTTATTCTTAATGAAAGTTAAGGGTAGGAGATAAGAAGGACAGAAAAGGAGAAAGACCAAAACAACTCTGGCTGTTATAAAATTTGTCTTTCCATGACAGCTTGAGGTGGTAGCATGACCTCTAAGTAAATATTTCCTCTGCCCTTCTGCCACCCTGGAAAGACCCTTCTCCCTTTGTAAAGCTTATTCTCTCCCACATAGTTTTATTTCCATACTGACCCAGCTTCTGGGTCCTTTGCTTTTTACTTAAGCGTCCCCTTTCTCACCACCCCCAGTCCCCTCCGACTTTTTACTACCCTCCTGGCTTGAGTCTGTTTTCTGAGATAGGAGCAGTGTCCGGGGTTCACTTTGCTCTGCCGGGACCTCCCTCATCTTGCTGTCCTCTGTCACCTGCGGCCACTCAGTCTCTGTGTCACATGTTAGTGGCAGCAATCATTTTGGAACCTAGCAGTTTAAACAGGGAGAGAGGGGATGATGGCTCCTAAGCCCTGCATTTCTGGTGCTCTTTCCAGCTGAAGCCATGGGGTTATTAATTCAGGGATAATCTTTATAGTCATCGAGAGCAGTTGTTTTTTTTTTTTTACAAATTCTTGATCAGTAATATCTTTTGCTTATTATTAAATTCAGAATCTTTGAGTCTGTTGCACTTTAACTTTTTCATCTGTAATGTACATGTTCATTTAAAGATATAGTTGTACATTCACACTTGAGTTTAAACTTCAAGCTGTGAGTTAAGTTGATTACACATTTCTGAAAACACATCTCAAAAATGGAAAAGGCAAATAAAGTATTCACTGTATAAATACACAAAATCAGATCAAGCTACATCTAAAAATACTAAGCCAGGACTTCCCTGGTGGTCCTGTGGTTAAGACTCCAGGGAACTCAGATCCACATGCTGTACAGCCCAGCCACAAGAGAAACAAAACAGCAGAAACCAAACAAAAGCCCCCTAAGCCATAATGTGAACTAGCAACACTGCACATGATAGCTTTGTTGCAGATACGGTTCCTAAGACTAAATTACAAACACTTAGATTTGTTTGTATCCTGTGGCATATAATAATGAAGTAGATTTCACATTATTTTTCAACATGATGATATATTGAGTTGGCCAGAAAGTTCGTTTGGGTTTTTACATAACACCTTTTACAGTAGTTTGTGTATCTGTGTTGTCAGCCATAACACTTTTTTGAAGGTAACAATACTGTTTATCAGAATCTGTTTAGTTTTCTAAAATATAACTAGGTGTGTTTAGAACTAAAGTAAAGTGAAAAATAGGCACATAAGACTGTATATTTATTGATATTGCTCATCATTAAGAAGTAAATCCTGGATGATGCTGTGCTGTTAAAAGAACAGCAGTTAATTTTTTTCTTTTTAATTAAAACTTTTTGCTGTACTCAACAGGAGTACATATGTTTTAGTTGCTCTTAAAATTTGGGCCTCTTAATTTGGATTAATAACTAAACTTATTGCTGCAAATGTTAAAAGCTAGGTATTACTGTAAATAAAATCATAAAAGCATCATAAAGGAATATCTTGACAATATATATTCAGATGTACTTTTTACACATTATAAGAATAAACATTTTGCCACGTAACTTTGAAAGACTGTTAAAGGTACTAATATTGTTTCCAGTTTTAGAGATATAACTGACATACAACCTTGTTTTAGTTTAAGGTATACATCATGATGGTTTGATACATGTATGTATTGTATAGTGATTACCACAATAAATCTAGTTAACAGCCCCTATAAAGGTGCAGTTATGATGGTAACGTTTGATTAATCCTTCATCTTTCCATTGTCTAGCAGTATCTCCTCTTAAGTGTCATCACTGTTTTGGTTTCACATCTTAAAGATCATTATTTGTTTATTTTTTATTTCCCCCTCATTTGAAGCATCCCCAGACATCTTGTCCAGGAGATCCTTGTCAAGATGATATATTCATTTCAGGACAGCAGAACTACCCATCAGCTCCAATTAGTCACAAAGATGTTCTTCCAGACAGCCTGATGAAAGTAGGTGCTCAGGGAATGAAGTAGTATCTGTGAGCTTACTGTGTTTTACAGCTTTTGAACTAGAAATATGTTTTAACACTGAAAACGCTTTTGTGAGGACCTAGTTTTTTAATAATTGAGAAATAAGATATAAAATTTCACTCTGCTGTTTCTTAGTTTATTTCATGATTTTGTCCACTCTGCAGAATCATTTTGTTAATTTTGGATTTCTGTAGTATTATCACCTTGTCATTTGAATCAAAGGCTTCTTGGCGTTCCTGATAGTGAACTATTTGGAGAGTTAAAAATGAACCTGTCTCAAGTTCATCATTGGATGATGAAGGCATTTTAACAGATAATACTTCTAATGTAGTTGGAAATCACCTTGAAAGACTTTTGTGTATGATAAAATAGATGATGGTTATAGTCTTATGACTTTTATAACTAAAACTTCACTCATTTAGAGAGTTTACTTTTTTGTCACCAGTGCTAGATACGTAATCCTTTTCTTTAGTATTTTCCTCAGTTCTCTTATCTTAACTAAGCCGATATCCCTAGTATAACCAGATATAATTGTGAAGCACAGTTATATAAACTTTTGCATTGTTCTTGAGAGTAGGAACCCAGCCATTTAAGTTTGTACATAGTTATTTATTTTACCCATTTTTGGTTGCTTTTCTTTTAATTGAGCTCTCCTATCCAGTTTCTTTTTAATATCCATTTTGTAGTTTTGATTACTGAGTTTGTTTTATGTGTTTTGTTCTCCTGAGTTATCTGCTAATCATAGTTTAGTATATTCCATGGCTGTGTTTAACACTGATGTAGAATGTCAAGTATGCGTAAGTTCTATGTGTCAAGGAGTCTTAAGAATGGGTCAAAAGTAGTTATTGTCTATAGTGTTCTCCCTAGGAGAAAGGCATTGAATCTGCCCATAGAAATATTATTAGCATGGAGAAAAACAAGTGCTGTCTACAGAGTGTGCATAAAAAAATAGCTGCAATCTTACGGACAGAAGAGCCTGGCGGGCTATAGTACGTGAGGTTGCAAAGAGGCGAACACAACTGAACACCACACACACACACACACACACACACACACACACACACACACACACACACACACACACACACACACACACACACACACACACACACACACACACACACACACACACACACAGTATTTAAGTGCTCCTGGACAGATTAATTGCTTCAAGTCTAGTGATCAAGTGGGAAACAACCACAGTTTAAAAAAGAGAGAGACTATAGCACCTCTTTCTCCTCTCTAAGCAATGTAAGATTTGTGATAGAGGGTTATCTTTGTGCTCTGTCATAAAACACCCAGACTTCATATTTTACTAAGTTCTCAAGTATAATACAGTGAAAAAGAGAACTTTCTGTTTAAATAAAAATATTCTTCACCAGAACCAAAGTTTGTACTCCTCAGCAGGATGCGCATAAGAAGATAAATAGTTCTGAAATTGTTGTCATAATCTTTTCCCGAACTTTTCTAGTTTGGGTAATTTTAGGGAAACGGGACTCAAATAATTTCCCTCACAGTTTTTCTGTAATTTCCTTGTGGGTTAAAAGTTAACAGTGAAGTTTTAAATGATTGAATAGCTTAAATGTATTTATTTCCTCTTATACACAAAAATCTCTTTATATGCATATATTTGTAATATAAATATAACCTTTTATTTTTCAGATAGATTCCTCACACTAACAGAATAAGCTATTATCACATTTCCACAAAGGTTATTTTTAAGTCTAAAAGACAAGAGTCTTTAAACCAAGATAATTCTTTAACAGCAACAGAATAATCTTGACTTTTTTGTTTAGTCTGTGAAAAGTAAAATGTCAAGGTTTAATTTTTGTGGCTCACATTCTGTGGAATTAGTATTTAGAGAGTGTAAAATTTGATAACTTGACACACACACACATACACTCAAGGAATAAATCCGTTTCCTCCCGCATTGCTGATTGGCTTTTTAGTTCTGGAAAGGAGAGAATGGAGGTACAAGAATATACTCAGGTTATGAAAATGTTCTACCACAAAACAGCAACTGTGTCTTTGGAGTGTATGTGAGAGACTAAGTATAGGAAAAGATTCCCTTTTAACGGTCTTACTTAAATTTTAAAATTTTGGCATACTGTTTATCATTTTAACATTGGGTTATGGTTACAGAAAAGCAAATAATTTTAAATGTAGATGTGATTAATTTGAAGCTTTAAAAGAGTGAATCTTATCAGCAAGCATCAGGCAAACTTAGAATTAAGACATTAACAGGGTTCTTCTTTTCCTTTTAAAAGTGTAAAATCAGAGAAAAAAAAAAGGCATACATGGCATGATAATGTGATTTAGAATGTTAAACTCAAGTGCTTTTGTAATGCTCCAAGAAGAAAATCCAAGTATTTGTTATAAGGCATTATTATTGGTCATTTTAAGACACTTCATGTTTTTCTTAGATGCCTTTGAGTAATGGACAGATGGGCCAGCCTCTCAGGCCTCAGGCAAATTATAGTCAAATACATCACCCCCTTCCTCAGGCATCTGTGGCAAGGCATCCCTCTAGAGAACAACTAATTGATTACTTGATGCTGAAAGTGGCCCACCAGCCTCCATACACACAGCCCCATTGTTCTCCTAGACAAGGCCATGAACTGGGAAGGCAAGAGGTAAGAATGAACAAGAATATTTGGAATATGAGACTAAGCTTTTAATGTATTTTATAGGTGATTTAATTATAGCAATAAATCCATATAGAATTTTAACATAGTTTTTACCATTTTGTTTAATGGTTTGGTTTCATGTTAAGTTTATAAGGTATTAAACTTTGTGGTTTAACCTGATTATATGATTCCCCCTCCCATTCTGATAAATTGACGTAGGATATAGCGTTGAAGGCATGATTTATTTTCCCTAAGGTGGTTGTTTTTCCAAACTGGTTGATGATGTTCCAATAATCAGACATTCTTCAGGAATATAAATAGTAGACCTTTAAACTTGAAAGGTATATTATATCTGCTAATTGTTATTTGATACTTGGTTTCTGAAACTGGACTATAGTCTCCAAAGAGCTTTGAGAATTAAATCTTAAAAAGTACTTTGAAAGTCAGCAGTCATATATTCATGTATTTTGATAGTTTATTAATAAAATAATATCATTAGAAACTTAGAGAAATAATATCATTAGAAACTTAGAGAAATGTATCATTCATTTCATTTTAGTTTCTGGAGAAAGGGAGTGTTTTTACAACAAAATTTAGCTCTTTTTCTATAGCTTGGTTGTAAAAAATACCAATTGATCATCAATCCTAGCTCCTTTGAAGGGTATAAACAGATTCAGGAAAGAAGTTAGCCTCCCAACAACCACCCAGGGATCTTTTTATATGTCTTATGAAACATATTATAGTAAGAAATACTATGTAATTTAGATGTTTGCAAATGGAAATTGATGATAAAGTCCATGTTTTGTGTGTATCCTCTATGTCATTAGAGTGTGTGATGTCCAAAATATATAAACTCAACTTTAATTGGTTGCATAATCCTCATAAGATAGCAATAGATTGATTTAGGAGCTGTGCTTTATAATCTTAGCTGTGCCTTTAACTCACTAACTCATTAACATATTATTCACATTGTAGTTTCATTTCATCTGCCCAAATATTTATTTTAGGTGAATTCTTACATATTTATGTTTTCTTGAACTTAATTTACCAATATGAATATTGTTGTAACTTTTTCTGATACAGCAGTAACTTTATTTTTGTGTTAACTCAGATTCGAGTGAGAGTTGAAAAGGATCCAGAACTTGGATTTAGCATATCAGGAGGGGTTGGGGGAAGAGGAAACCCATTCAGACCTGATGACGATGTGAGTTTTGTTTATATATCCTTGAAATGCCCATTAGTTTTTATTCACTAAATTAATGTCTTTAATGCATAAGTAAAAATCTAACAGATATTTATTTAAATCTAGACAGACATCACTTTATGATTTCCCTGTTCAGCTTTTAGTTTTGAAATGTGATCAGTACAAATTAATTGTTTGATGAATACAAATTTAACTCCAAAATTTTAATGTTCATTATATTGTGAAGTGACATTTTAATTGTTAATACTTTTCTACACAGCTATATATGTACTTTTTAAAATTACTTTAACAAAAAAAATCACTGTACTACTGGAAGAATGACCAGAAGCACAAATAACATAGCATTATCACAATATTAGAAAAGACAGGCAGAAAACTTGTACCACAGTTCAGATATTTACATACTATAGAAAAGATTGCTTCTTGGTACTCTATTTTTATGCATACTTCTTTCTAGTAAATAATTATCTTTTTTGTTGTTTAAAGGGTATATTTGTAACAAGGGTACAGCCTGAAGGACCTGCATCAAAATTATTGCAGCCAGGTGACAAAATTATTCAGGTAACTTAAGATACATTTTTCACTATTTTCTTTTTTTAAAATAATATCTGATCTCATCAAATGCCAGATTAGAAAGTAAGCATTTTATGAAGTTATCTTTAGATATTTTTGGATGAACAGAGGCATTTCTTATAGGCTACTCTCTCGTGCTTTCATAGCTTGAAATATTTCTGCCTTATACCTTGGAAAATCATACTAATAGTTTTAAATACACCTTAGCATTTTTGAAATATATCTTAGCCTTTTGATTAAGTTTATGAATGTTGTTGTTCAGTCATGTCCAACTCTGGGATCCCATGGACTGCAGTACACCAGGCTTCCCTCTCCTTCACCATCTCCCAGAGCTTGCTCAACTCATGTCCGTTGAGTCAGTGATGCCATCCAACCATTAATGTCAAGAACAAGTTGCGCAAGTTATAAATGTTAACTTGTTCTAAAATAAGATGAGAAAGAATCCCTTTTCTGTGTTATGAGAATTGAAAGATTTAAGAAGCACTGAGAGGCATTTAGAACTGTGTATCTGGTGTATAGTAAGACTTCATTAAATGTTTAACCTAAATCACAAAAGGTGTAGTGTTCTTGCTCTCATGACTCCTAGGCAAGTGGGAAGACTGGACCCCAACCTCTTCTAGGTCCAGTCACTTCAGTGACTTAGTCACTTCAGTCGTGTCTGACTCTTTGCGACCCCATGTACTTCAGCACGCCAGGTCTCCCTGTCCATCACCAACTCCTGGAGTTTATTCAAACTCTCGTCCATTGAGTCAGTGATGCCATCCAACCATCTCATCCTTTGTTGTCCCATTCTCCTCCTGCCTTCAATCTTTCCCACCATCAGGGTCTTTTCAAATGTGTCAGTTCTTCGAATCAGGTGGCCAAAGTATTGGGTTTCAGCTTTAGCATCAGTCCTTCCAAAGAACATTTAGGACTGATTTCCTTTAGGATGGACTGGTTGGATCTCCTTGAGTCCGAGGGATTCTCAAGAGTCTTCTCCAACACCACAGTTCAAAAGCATGAATTCTTCGGCGTTCAGCTTTCTTTATAATCCAACTTTCACATCCATTCATGACTACTGGAAGAACCAAGGCCTTGACTAGGTGGACCTTTGTTGGCAGAGTACTGTCTCTGCTTTTTAATATGCTGTCTAGGTGGATCATAACTTTCCTTCCAAGGAGTAAGCGTCTTTTAATTTCATGGCTGCAGTCACCATCTGCAGTGATGGCTGCATCTCTACCATCTGGAGCCCAAAAAAACAAAGTCTGCCTCTGTTTCCACTGTTTGCCCATCTATTTGCCATGAAGTGATGGGACCAGATGCCATGATCTTAGTTTTCTAAATGTTGAGTTTTAAGCCAACTTTTTCACTCTCCTCTTTCACTTTCATCAAGAGGCTCTTTAGTTCTTCGCTTTCTGCCATAAGGGTGGTGTCATCTGCATATCTGAAGTTATTGATATTTCTCCTGGCAATCTTGATTCCAGCTTGTGCTTCTTCCAGCCCAGCGTTTCTCATGATGTACTCTGCATATAAGTTAAATAAGCAAGGTGACAATATACAACCTTGACATACTCCTTTTCCTATTTGGAAACAGTCTGTTGCTCCATGTCCAATTCTGTTGCTTCCTGACCTGCGTACAGATTTCTCAAGAGGCAGGTCAGGTGGTCTGGTATTCCCATCTCTTCCATAATTTTCCACAGTTTGTTGTGATCCACACAGTCAAAGGCTTTGGCATAGTCAATAAAGCAGAAATAGATGTTTTTCTGACACTCTCTTGCTTTTTCGATGATCCAGTGGATGTTGGCAATTTGATCTCTGGTTCCTCTACCTTTTCTAAATCCAGCTTGAACATCTGGAAGTTCACGGTTCACGTACTGTTAAAGCCTGGCTTGGAGAATTTTGAGCATTACTTTACTAGCATGTGAGATGAGTGCAATTGTGTGGTAGTTTGAGCATTCTTTGGCATTACCTTTCTTTGGGATTGGAATGAAAACTGACCTCTTCCAGTTCTGTGACCGCTGCTGAGTTTTCCAAATTTGCTGGCATATTGAGTGCAACTCTTCACAGCATCATCTTTTAGGATTTGAAATAGCTCAACTGGAATTCCATCACCTCCACTATCTTTGTTCGTAGTGATGCTTCCTAAGGCCCACTTGACTTCACATTCCAGAATGTCAGGCTCTAGGTTGGTGATCACACCATCATGATTATCTGGGTCATGAAGATATTTTTGTATAGTTCTTCCGTGTATTCTTGCCACCTTTTCTTAATATCTTCTGCTTCTGTAGACCCATCCCATTTCTGTCCTTTATTGAGCCTCTTCTACCACCCTTGTAACTTGGCAACCTCAGTTTCATCGTAGTGTGAAACTCAGCTCCGTGTCTAGCACTATGTCTTAGACAAGTGCTTCCTAATATCAGGATTGCTACATAAGAATCATCTGAAGAAGTGGATAAGATCCAGGTTTCTAGGTCCTAGCTTTAGAGCTTTTATTTCCATAGAGATGGGATGGAGCCCAGGAGTGTAAATGTTGTTTTAAATTGCCAAAATGATTCTTATTTTCTGCCAGCTTTGTGGACTACCTGGCAGAAATTTAAATGTGCAAACACAAATTATTATGAAAAAAATTTTTAAGTCTTTTTCTTCTTTCTTCTAGGCTAACGGCTACAGTTTTATCAATATTGAACATGGACAAGCAGTGTCCTTGCTAAAAACTTTCCAGAACACAGTAGAACTCATCATCCTAAGAGAGGTTTCCTCATAAGAGCCGTGGACTAAAAGAATGGAGAGACAGCAAGATTTATTGGAAGATACTTGCAGGGGAAATTAATATTTTGACTATTTTTATATATAAAGAAGAACTCAAAAAATTATATTCAAATTTGTACATTAATGAAGTAATGGACCTTGTGGTTAGAGGGAAAGAACCACTGTACAGTATATGGGGGAGACTATTGAATTCATACCATATAAAACTTCTCGTTAGGTTTTTAAACATAGCAGTCAAGGCTACAAAAACAGATGTATGTTGTTTTTGTATAGAGTGTAGGTTTATTTTTGGATTTCATACACATGATTGAACTCTGTGCAAGGCTCTAGTTAGCCTTGATTGTAGCCCAGAGACAGATGGCAGAGCTGTCTATCTCATAGCTTTTATGCCCTTATTTTTATTCAACTGGTATTAATGTTTTTCTGCTGAAACTTTTTTTTTAATGTGGGCAAGAGATTTGAAGTGTTGGCTTTCGCTATGTGCATATTGAGTTGAAGAGTGAGTAGGTGAAGGTGGTGCAGGTGGGTTCACTTTCCAAGGCCAAATTAAAACAGTTATTTTCTATAAAAATCTGGAAGCAAAGAATGAAAAAAGTTGTTAATGTGTTCTTATTAATAGAATAAATAAAATGTGATGTCTTTTTAAAGAAATAAAAAAGACAATAATTGTGTTTTATGAGCTCTATAGGATTTGTTCTTGTCATAGCCCTTGACTATACAGTTGCTACTAGTGAATCAAGTTTTAATTTTTTAGTCAAAGGAAATTTTTAACTCTCCTGTAGATGCATGTCCATGCATTCTCTTTCTTTCTTTTTTTTTTTGGTCCATGCATTTTCTGTGTTGCAGAAATACCCCCCCCCCCTTTTTTTTTTTGCAAATGGTGGTACTTGCAATCTGTTTTATAATTAGTACTCCATTTTAAACTTAATTTATAATTTTTACCTTAAGCAACAAGTGAAACTAAAATGGCCAGTTTTGAGATTGTGTTGCTGTAACAGAAAATGTAAGAAGATTTTGGAAGGCCTCTTGATGTTGTTTGACCTCACATTGCCTTGGTAAAGTAAAAGGAAACAGTGTGCATGGAGCTAGGAAACCAAAGTGCGTCTGTGAAACTGGCATAGTGATAGAGAACTGCTGTGGAGAATTGTAGAGCAAGGGAGTGGGCCCTTGAGGCCCACCAGTGTGTAATGGTGTGCAAAAAAAGGGCTGTTCCTACAGGTAACGTTAAATGTGAACTCGACACTTGTGAGTCTTTAAAGGGTTTCTAAGCGCATCAGTGTAATAGTGTTTTACCACCAACTGCCTTTGTTCCTCGTTAGTGTAACAAATATTTGATAGAGGTTTATGAATTTTTTTCAGACCTTTACTTTTCTTTCTTTTTGTTCTGTCTATGTAATCAAATAAAATTTGAATAACATGCAGTGGTGAGAATTAACGCATAGTTATTTGGACCAGAAAAAAGTGCCATAGAAGACCAAGAACTGTTTTTAGTCGAGGCTAGTCTAGAGCCTTTCTTTAGAGCAATATTCAGTTATTACAATTCATTTTTAATTACTAAGAATATAATTTTGGAATTTTTAATCTGTTATGCTTTGTTCTTCAACCTTGTTTGAAGGTTAAGTCTTTTATAGGACTAGCAAAAATAGTAATCGACATTATTTTTGCAAAAGTGAGTTGAACTCGTTTGTTTCTTGCTAGTCATCGTAAATAGGCAGTACTTTTTAAAAGATGTGAACTCCAATACTGCACTTCTTTCAAGATGTTATCAATTGATTATTGTACTGTATAGTTTTAATAATATTGATTGAAACCCTTTAACAACTCTTTGTAAATTTTAACTCATTTTAGTTGATTTTCAGTACTATTTGCATAGGAATTGATTTTTATGAATATAGTAGAAAAATGTGCTGTATTTTGATAAAATTCATTTATTGTATGTGTGTTGTAATCTCTAAAAAAATGACAAACAGCTTCTTTAAGACAAGACTCGGTGTCCCCTTTATTCATAGTTTATTTTAAAATACTAATTTTTGCATTCTAAAATTATTCCCATCTTCTATTGGTTTTAGTCGATTTTTCACAGTCACATTCTGTTCGCTGGTAACTCAGCTGGTAAAGAATCTGCCTGCAATGCAAGAGACCCCGGTTCAATTCCTGGGTCGGGAAGATCCGCTGGAGAAGGCACAGGCTGCCCACTCCAGTGTTCTTGGCTTCCCTGTGGCTCAGCTGGTAACGAATCCGCCAGCAATTTGGGAGACCTAGGTTCAATCCTTGGATTGGAAAGATCCCCTGGAGAAGGGACTGGCTACCTACTCCAGTATTCTGGCCTGGAGAGTTCCATGGACTGTATGGTCCATGGGGCCAAAAGAGTTGGACACGACTGAGCAACTTTTGCTTTTCATAAAAATAAGTATAATTATGACATTTTTTACTTTTTTACCTTGAATCAGATACACAGACTGATTTTGGAAAGGGAAATAACCCAGAAAGAACAATTGATTTATCAGTGATTAAACTTAAGTTAGTTGTCTGCATATTATATTGAAATATTACAAGTGCAACAAGTATTATATGCACTAGTATTCTATTCTAGTTAATTAAAAAATTTTTTTAATGTTCTCATAACACAAAGTCAAGTAAGAAAGTTTGTTACCAAGATAAGTAACATGACATATAAAAAACTAAAAGTAATTTTCTACTTAAATGGATAGCCAAAGTTTTCTTCTAAACTACTGGAAAATTAGAATTAAATAATAACGCTTCATTAGAATTTTTGTTTTGATAGTGATAAAATTTCAAAATTTGAATAAAAGTAATCATTTAAATCTTCTGAAGAAATAGGATGAGTAATTTGTAGTTAAAGCCCATGCCCATAATTGACATACTTATTTTTAATAAGTACTATGTAGCAAGTCATTAAAACCAAAACTATCTTATTTTTAGTAACAGTGTTTAAAATTGACCACCCTAAAATTTTAAACAATTAAAAATTATATGTCCAATATAGAATTGTTTACACAAACTACAGTTTTATGCTGACTCATTAAAGAATCATTGTTTCCTCTGAGTCCATGAAATTCTAAAACTCCCTACATACTTATTTTGTAAATATTTCTCTGATCTTTGGACTTAAAGTTGTATATATACTTGAAAAATTCTTTAAACACAAACATCGCAATGAACAGAAGTAAAGTGTTAGATATTTGCCGTGCTTAAAAGCAAATCCTATTAGCATTTGTAAAACATTCTAAATTTTTGTTATACATCTAGATTGTTAGAAATAGCACAATGAATAGATAATAAACTAAAATAATTATAAATTATAACAAATTTAATAAATAAATTAGTTTATAATAAATAAACTAAATAAATTAATGCTATTTAAAGTGTGATTTAGAAATTCAGGGTGAGAAAAATTGTGATAAAAAGACGGCTATTTTCTTTAACCATTTAGTCCCTTGTATTCCTGGGTGTGAAAGAAATACAGGTTTACCCTACTGTTTTTTTACTTCTGAAGGAAGCCATGGGGATGGAAATGTTTTTTCACTTAGTTCAAGATTGGTGATCAGTCATATCTATTTGAAAAGATTTTTTCATTATTTAACATTCTTATTTGCTATCCTTCTTATCTAATGTATAATAAATAGGTTTCTTATGAAAGAGAGTGAAGTTAAAGTTAATTTTGTTTTGTCAAAAGCATTAATAAATATATATAGTTGATGTACAGAGAGCAAGAAACTACTTTTAAAAGGCACTCTAGATTATATAAACAGCCAACTCAAACCTCTAGGTAATCACTTTGTTTCTAAAAGAGAATTTAGACAAGGTTGACCATCTTAACATCTAAAGCTATAGTTTCTTTACCTCTGCAGAGTTTTTAAGCCCAGGGAATAGCAAGCACAGTCATTTATAGCTTTAGAAAATGTGTAAGAGAATGCTATCTTCTTTTTAGGACTTTGTGTTCTCTTTGTGAAGCAGTTTGCAAAATTAAAATTTATAGTCCCCAAAAATGTTCACTGGTGGCTCAGATGGTAAAGAAACTGCCTGCAGTGTGGGAGACCTGCGTTTGGTCTCTGGGTTTGGGATGATCCCCTGGAGAAGGGAATGGCTATGCACTCCAGTATTCTTGCCTGGAGAATTCCATGGACAGAGGAGCCTAGCATACTACAGTCCATGGGGTCACAAAGAGTCAGACATGACTGAGTGACTGATGCTTTCGCTTTCAGAAAGGTACAGTCCTAAAATTTAAGCAAAATTCTAAACTGTGAAAGTTTATTTGGGAAAAATACCTCAGTAGAATCTACTCAGGTTTTATTTTAGAGAAAGATTAAGGTACTCCTGAACCTTTCTGTGGGAGTCTTAAGAAAGAGCCTACAAAATGATATAACTGATACCATTCCCACTTCAAATATAACAAGGAGGGACAATTACAATGTCTCATGGGATTTCATCTGGCCAATATAACTTCTAAAACAGTCCTCGGTATAATTTCAGGATGAAGTATGAGAAGCTCATGTATCACTGGTGAATTAAATAGTATAAGCTATAAAATTATGTTCTCTTCCCCACCACCCTGTGAGTTAATAGAGCTATTTTTATTTTCTATGAAGAACATTATTGACAAATAGTTTTCCTAACTACCTTCCTTAAATCTAATCAAACAAATTTTGTTCCTCCAAGGCAGAGCTTTAGAAGGATCTTTTTTTATGTGTTCTTCCCAACTAATTGCCTTGATAGAACACTAAGAAAAATAAGAATGAAAAAATCAAATAAATTTGAAGAAAAATTAGTATGTGGAGCATGAGTTTTTAGGATGGGTGATTGTAGGGCTCCCCTTCTTCATGAAGGGCAAAATCTAATGCTCAGAACTAATGCCATCCTGGAATGGATATTAAAACATTTCTTTCATGTTAGGATCGTCCTTCAAAAGAGCGTTGGTTTTCCCTAGAACCATGTTCAGGTTTATCTCCCAAAGAAAATTGTTCACGGTTGCAT